TCTTTTTGAATTTTTGGTGATTTTTTTTCTCCCCCACTGAAATGCACTGAAAAGATTTCGCTTAGCGATGTTTCCTATGGCGATTTTCGCTTAAGGACGGCAATCCATTCCCATTGGAGTGGATTATCCAGTATTCAATGCATCTCTATGGGAAAACGCATTTCGCTTAGCGATGTTTTCCCATAGCGATGTTTTTTCCAGAACCAATTAAAATCGTTAAGCGAGGCACCACTGTAATCAACCTTATTCTTACTTTTGGAGTTCACAAATACGATCAAAATTCAGAGTGGGATTCCTGAAATACATGACCCCCTTCTACAGAAAACTACATTCCAACGTAATTCCAACTCTCCCAGTTTTCTACAAAAAAGCATTTTTGAGATCTGTAACTAAAGGATCAGGAAAAGTAGTTTCTGCAGAGAGAGCTGTCATCTCCCAACAGAGGCATGGAGGCTGAGGATGTTGGGCAACATAGTTAAATACATTTAGAAGGCATGGGGCTCGGGGTGGCTGGTATGGAACTCACCACATGGAGGTGGCACCAAGAGCAGAAAAACAGACTCCTGCGTACGAAATTCAACAGTAAAGAATGCGAACTCAGCAAGTCCAAGCTGTTTTCACCTTAAAAAGATACCCGATTCAAAGCAACGGCTAAGCTGCACTTTGGCCAACAAAAATAGTGCGCCGATACATACCCAACCCTGAGCAATCCTGGCTGTGAACCAGGTAGTTTACAGATGCACAGGCTGCTCCGACTTTGATTTTCCAGGATTGCACACTGCCGTTACAAAAATCCTTTTTTTTTTTAATTATAAAGCAAAGCATGCTGCTTATATACCGCCCCATAGCGCTTCAAGCACTCTCTGGGCGGTTTACAAGTTAATTATGCAGGCTACACATTGCCCCCCCCCAGCGAGCTGGGTACTCATTTTACCGACCTCGGAAGGAGAGAAGGCTGAGTCAACCTTGAGCCAGCTACCTGGGATTGAACCCCAGGTCGTGTGCAGTTTTGGCTGCAGTACAGTAGTTTAACCACTGTGCCACGAGGCTCTTCTATAAAAAAAGATTTAAAATATTATTTCAATCCATTTCCCCCCATGGCTTTCTAAGAGATGGGGAGGCCTGGAAAAGGCAGGAAAAATGGGGGGGGGGGGAAAGGCAGTTTTTCCCCATTTTCCCCAAAGCCACTCCCCCCCGTAAAAATTGTAAAAATATGGAGTGTGGAATATGCTCTTCTACAATGATAAATAATACATCTATGACATGGTAGTTAACCTATATAACATGAAGACATCAATTAAAGACATCTGAGACTTTATGTATTTAAGTTCTCTAGATATCAAATTTAACTGTAATGTTCATCTGAATTTAATAACAGATAGCATTAAAGGTTAATTTCCCACTACCTAAAATTGGCTAACAGTTGTAGGTTTCGTCTCTATTTGCTTTAGTTCCAATATAATTTGGAATTGTCAATGTGACTACAGTAGTCTTTCATTTTGCAGAAAATGCAGACAATCAAGAAGCTGAATATGAAGTGTCTTTCTTAACAAGAAAACAGTGGGCACAAGCCAACTAAATAAAAAGGTGTTCTTAACAGGGATTTTTAAAATCTCTCTCAACCACCCTCCTCAGAGGCAGACAGAAAAATCAGAAAAAGAAATCCAACCTCAGGTCCACTCTCTCAAAGCTGCAAAGCTATCTGGGAAAGTTCAGTAGAAAAGCTTACACACAGCAACTGAGAATTCATTATCATCATGAATTGTGCAAGAAAACCAAATATTTGGTTTATAGACCCTTAATGTAACCATTAACTTCTGTTAAGGCTTGTAACCATATTTACTGAGAGCTCTGTGGCTGGAAAGAGAAACACAGATTAGAGAATCTTAGATCAAATAGCAAAACAATTTTAAAGTAAAATATATGTTTTGAATGCTTCAGCTGTAATTAGTGTAACCAGCTTCTTCCCAACAGGAAACGCTGGGCTTAGCAACAGTTCAGAAAAGCAATCATTTCCTACAAGCCAGCCTAAATAAAATACTTGTTTCTCAGTCAATAAACAGGAGTACAGTGGTGCCTCGCTTAGCGACGTTAATTCGTTCAGGAAAAAACGTCGCTAAGCGATTTAATCACTAAGCGATTTTTAAAAGCCCATAGAACCACATTAAAACTTGTTTAATGCGTTCCTATGGGCCTTAAAACTAACCTTATGCGAAGATCCTCCATTGAGGCGGCCATTTTCGGTGCCTCTAAAGCGAGGCAACACAGCGGGTGGCCATTTTGTTTTCCAGAGGTCATTTTTAAACCGCCGAACAGCTAGCCGAAAATGGGAGCTTTGCGGTGATCGCTTCCCCGCGATCATCGCAAAGCGATTTTTCCCCATAGGGGCCATCGCTAAGCGATCGCTCTGGCGATGGCCAAAACCCCATCGCTAAGCGATTTCATCGCTCAACGGAGCGATCGCTAAGCGAGGCACCACTGTATTTGGAAAAAATCAGTGGGGTTATCGTGTTAATTCTTTTAAAGCAGGCATAAGCAACTTTGGTAAATGCACAGGTGAGTTTTCAACATGCACAACCAAAATTCGTAATCAGGATTGCAAACCAAAAATTGCAAACCCCGTCCAGTTTCCCACTACAGTGATGCATACATAATCTTTACTTTCACATACAAAGATCTGCCTAAGTAGGGTAGCACATTACCACTGACAACTTAGGGAGCAATGTCAATCAAAATCCTAACACCTTCTCCCAGGATATCTTCAAGTAAGTCTGAATCATTAATTTCCGAAGGAGTCACCATGTTAGTGTCTTGTAGGAAAATAACAGAAAGCAAGCTGGATTCCCATGCGGAGCCAAGCTATAATCAACCTGTCAGTGTGATCATTATGACAGAATTCCCTCTGTTACGTTGAAATGTTTCTACACAGTGCCGTCAGTGTGTGCGGTATTTTACACAGCACAAGAGAACAGTCCACTACCCTGATAAATTTATAATCTTAAATTCAACACTGGGTTAAATGGAGGGCAGGAACAGACAAGAAAGGAATATGTCATTGCTTCGAGGTAGAGGATAAGGGAAATTCTACTTTGGTTTTCGAGGTAGAGGATAAGGGAAATTCTACTTCGGTTAGGGACGTGTTAGCACTGCAGGTTAAACTGCAGAAGTCTCTGTGCTGCAAGGTCAGAAGACCTGCAGTCGTAAGATCGAATCCACGCGACAGAGTGAGCTCCTGTCATTCGTCCCAGCTCCTGTCAACCTAGCAGTTCGAAAGCAGGTAAATGCAAGTAGATAAACAGGTACCACCACGGTGGGAAGGAAATGGCGTTCCGTGTCTAGTCGCACTGGCCACGTGACCATGGAAACTGTCTTCGGACAAACGCTGGCTCTACGGCTTGGAGACGGGGATGAGCACCGCTCCCTAGAGTCATATACGACTGGACTAAATGTCAAGGGGAACATTTACCTTTATACGTACTGGACCCCTTTATTAAGCCTTCTCTCCTACAAGGGTCCATCTCTTCCAGCACTCATTGCTCCGAACATTAGGAATCAGTGGCATCTACCTATAACTCTGCTTTTATTCTCCGTCCATATTGCTTTTACTTTTTACAGCTCTCTGAGGCCACTGATTCTTCTGAGTGGAATTTTCTGTAACCATCTGTCTGATGTTGCAGTGTTCAGCAGCTGCTTGCTATCTTATAGAAAATTGGGAGAGGAAGCAGACTATATTTTAATCAGTCTCCCAGTTCAGCTCTTATACAGAGATATTCAGCTTCCCAACACCATGAACAACTGCGGAAACAGAAATGAAGTACTCACCACAGCAATAACAGGAATCAACACTCCCAGGTTCCCTGCACTGCTAGATGCCTATGGAGGAAAGGGGCGGGGGGCACAAAGGACGATATTTGAAAACCTTTGAAAAATCCGTGTTAAACGGAATATCAATTCTCACATGGTTTTGCTTCAAACAACCATGAAAATGTCGCCATTTAGCAACAACAAGCAACTGGAAGGCGTTGACTCTCCTTGATCAAACATATAGTAGGACCCCCGTATCCATGGGGGACTGGTTCCTTGGCTTCAATAGATACCGCACTCCCAGGTTCCCTGCACTGCTAGATGCCTATGGAGGAAAGGGGCGGGGGGGCACAAAGGACGATATTTGAAAACCTTTGAAAAATCCGTGTTAAACGGAATATCAATTCTCACATGGTTTTGCTTCAAACAACCGTGAAAATGTCGCCATTTAGCAACAACAAGCAACTGGAAGGCGTTGACTCTCCTTGATCAAACATATAGTAGGACCCCCGTATCCATGGGGGATTGGTTCCTTGCCTTCCATAGATACCAAAAACCATGGATAATAGTGAACCCTAGAATAGCATGTCTCTGGCTCCCTCTTCTGGCGAGTTCTGGTAATTACATTGTGGAAATATGTATTTCTGGGTTTTTTAAAATATTTTTAATATTTTCAGACTGTAGATAAGTGAAACAGCAGATATTGATTATGTGGATACAGGGGTCCTACTGTATATAAAAACTGAAGTACTGTTCACACATCCTGTGCACCAGTTCCCTTAATCCCGTAACAGGCCGTTTTTGTTCCATTTTGGGTTTTTTCTGGTCTGTAAGTCAAATCTCAGTCTGCAAGTCAAACCTAAATTTTGCGGCCAGAGAAGCCTGTAACTCAAAAAGTCTGTAAGTCAAGCCGTCTGTAAGTCAAGGGTCCACTGTATTTTTAATATTTTCAGACTGTAGATAAGCGAAACAGCAGATATTGATTCCATGGATACAGGGGTCCTACTGTATATAAAAACTGAAGTACTGTTCACACATCTTGTGCACCAGTTCCCAAGTTTAGGACATCATATTACAGTTTAGCTTGAACCAAACTGGTGAAGCTCAGACTTTCGTGCTCCCACACATCCACTCCCCACTTCCCACACTCTTCTGATTAACTGCAATGTATTGTGTCCTAGGAACTGAAGTAGTTAATTGTAACTACTGTCTTGTCTCAAAGAAGCCAACTTGGAAACAATCCTAGTCCCAAGAGAAGAGCATATTTTAAATCAACAGTAATTTCTCAGATCGTGGGTTAAATCAAACGGTTAGTCCCAAGCAGACAAGACCTACTGAATGAATGAGGCCAGTGAAGTCAGCACTATTATTTGTCCCAGCTAAAGAAAGGGCTTTGAATGAATGACATTTGTGAAATCAACACTGACATATGTGTCTTAGATTTAGTGGGCCTACACTTGTTTCCTATATGCTGTCAAAGTTACCTCCGATTTATGGTGAATATATACCGTAGACTTTATGAAATATTTAATGGGTGGTTTTATCATTACCGCCCCCAATGAGTTTCCATGGGGAAACAGGGATTTGAACATACTTCTCTTAAGTTATCGATCTACCCCCTAAACCGAAATGGCTCATGGGACTACTCTAGTTGGGACTAAATAGGACTTAATCCTGTAGCCATAGTTTTAAATGACTCAACTGCCATTCCAAATGGGCTCAGCCATCTTTATGCTGCAATGGACGAAGCGATTCAGTCTTAGAGCTCTGAAAGAAGGGAGATTTTATTTTTATTTTTTGCAGACATCTGGAGTGTTTAAGTAAGCAGCTCCTAATTTCATGTCAAAGCCCAAGCCCCACAAAAATGATAGAAAAGGACATTTAACTCGCTTCAAATCTGGATTTGAAGCCAATGGTTAAATCTGGGACATGTGTTTTCACAAGCAGTATGAAAATGAGTGACTTTGAAGTATGTAAACAGATCCTGTCTGACTCTACCATTAGATCTTATTTCTTCTTTTAATGATAGCAAGATACAATGTCCCAGTAAAATGCCATCCTAGTCTATGAACAAATAACTCCTGTTTCACTTATAACAAGTCAAAGCAGCCTCATACTGGGTCAAGATTATTTGTCCACCTAAGATGACTGTTGTCTGAGTCCACTGACCAGCAGCGATTCTCAAAGGTCCTAGACAAAGGTATTTCCCATCACATGCCAAGCTGTTCATCTCATTGAATCCTGTCAGCACTGGGGCATTAATTCTTACTCCCAGGCAGTTTCGTTGAAAGTGACTGCAGAAACCGTGTCAGTGTGAGTTTCTTCCGCGATCAGTGGGAGAACCATAGATTATTCCCCATCTTACCTTCAGGGCTGGACCTTTCTCACTTGCCCTCTCGCTAGCTCTCTTCCCTTCAAGCCCAAGTTGAACGAAGAGTTCCAGCAAGTTCATTAGCAATTCATCCACAAGGTGCTCATCCTGGATATTTGCAGCGATGTTAGCCAGAGCATTAATAACAGCTAAGGAACAGTGTCTGAGGAAAAGCAGAAAATAACATTCAAGAGGCCTTTGATTCAATTTCCTGCTTTTACTTCCAGAACAATTTTGTGTACATCGATTACAATGTCCTCCAAGTTGAAGAGCAGCTACAATACTAAGCATTTATTTGGACTGTTCAAACTTGAAATGGTGGTTTAGATGAACAGCACTTTGGAATATTGCTTGCTCCACACTAGTAGTCAACAGCAGAAATAGGTATAGTTCTGCACTGGTGAACAAATAAGTAACTTGCAAAATTTTCTCTTTTTTTCAGACTACAAAATTTCCTAGCTAGCAGGTATAACAAGCACTGGAAAAAATATTGTAGGTGGAAGGAAAAATCAGAGTTATAGGTACACGCCACTGATTCCTAATGTTCAGAACGTAAGGATGGGGGCATAAGCAAAGACATGTCAGAATAAATTAATAAGAAATGAGCACACAGAAATGAGTTCAAAGAAGCCATAGCTTCCACGTATTTGGCAACACAAGGATCAAGACCTTGGAGGATCTCACGGCTGCCTGTCAACAAAGGTTACCTACAGCTCACCTGCTTGGGGAAGTAAGTGAGGCAATCAATAATTACCCCAGTGGTTCCCAACCTGGGGTCCCCAGATGTTCTTGGACAGCAACCCCAAGAAACCCTGGCCAGCACAGCGAGCGGTGGAGGCTTCTGGGAGTTTGAGTCCGAGAACATCTGGGTCAAGGTTGGGAGCCACTGACATATCCTGTCTGTGGCCACTTAAGATACGCTACCTGGAGGTGTGTGCATTTTAAGCCAGACTCTAGAAAATAGCTAGCCTGTGATTTCCTTCATCTTTCCTTCCGTTTAACCTCCAATACTGAGGCCATTAGAACTAGAGGAAAGAAGAGGCAAAAACAGAGGGCAAACTCCTCCTTGTGCGTGCGCATGTGCGCTCTGCGCCATCAAGTCAGAACAGACATAGCAACCCCCTAACAGCGCTGTCACGATTCCCACATAGCCTCTGCTTGTTTCGCCAAACAAAGAGCTCATGCGACGTGCCCCTCAGCTGCCCCTCAGATTTCATCAACAATACCTATTACAGTGGTGCCTCGCATAACGAGTGCACTGTTTAACGACGAATCTGCATAGCGATGCGTTTTTTGCGATCGCTAATGCGATCACATTGCAATGTTTAGATAGGCTAAACATCGCATTGCGATGATCGGTAAGTGAAATGCTTACCGATCTTAGCATTGCGATGTTTAGAAAACAGCTGATCGGCTGTTCAAACTTGAAACGGTGGTTTAGATGAACAGCACTTTGGAATATTGCTTGCTCCACACTAGTAGTCAACAGCAGAAATAGGTATAGTTCTGCACTGGTGAACAAATAAGTAACTTGCAAAATTTTCTCTTTTTTTCAGACTACAAAATTTCCTAGCTAGCAGGTATAACAAGCACTGGAAAAAATATTGTAGGTGGAAGGAAAAATCAGAGTTATAGGTACACGCCACTGATTCCTAATGTTCAGAACGTAAGGATGGGGGCATAAGCAAAGACATGTCAGAATAAATTAATAAGAAATGAGCACACAGAAATGAGTTCAAAGAAGCCATAGCTTCCACGTATTTGGCAACACAAGGATCAAGACCTTGGAGGATCTCACGGCTGCCTGTCAACAAAGGTTACCTACAGCTCACCTGCTTGGGGAAGTAAGTGAGGCAATCAATAATTACCCCAGTGGTTCCCAACCTGGGGTCCCCAGATGTTCTTGGACAGCAACCCCAAGAAACCCTGGCCAGCACAGCGAGCGGTGGAGGCTTCTGGGAGTTTGAGTCCAAGAACATCTGGGGGAACTCAAGGTTGGGAGCCACTGACATATCCTGTCTGTGGCCACTTAAGATACGCTACCTGGAGGTGTGTGCATTTTAAGCCAGACTCTGGAAAATAGCTAGCCTGTGATTTCCTTCATCTTTCCTTCCGTTTAACCTCCAAAATTGAGGCCATTAGAACTAGAGGAAAGAAGAGGCAAAAACAGAGGGCGAACTCCTCCTTATGCACGACAGAGGGCAAACTCCTCCTTGTGCGTGCGCATGTGCGCTCTGCGCCATCAAGTCAGAACAGACATAGCAACCCCCTAACAGCGCTGTCACGATTCCCACATAGCCTCTGCTTGTTTCGCCAAACAAAGAGCTCATGCGACGTGCCCCTCAGCTGCCCCTCAGATTTCATCAACAATACCTATTACAGTGGTGCCTCGCATAACGAGTGCACTGTTTAACGACGAATCTGCATAGCGATGCGTTTTTTGCGATCGCTAATGCGATCACATTGCAATGTTTAGATAGGCTAAACATCGCATTGCGATGATCGGTAAGTGAAATGCTTACCGATCTTAGCATTGCGATGTTTAGAAAACAGCTGATCGGCGGTTCCAAAATGGCTGCTGGATCAGCAAAATGGCCACCCGCAGCGTTTTCACGCCCTGCCCTCTCTTACCAGGCAGCAAAAATGGCGGCCGGATGGGGGAATCTTCGCTTACCAGTGAGTTTTTCCCCCATAAGAACGCATTACGGAGTTTAATGCGTTCCTATGGGGGTTCCCCCCCCCGTATAGCAACGAATCTGGATAGCAACGTTAATCCTGGAACGGAATAACATCGCTATGCGGGACACCACTGTATTAATAATTGAGGGGCGCATGTGCGCTCTGCGCCATCAAGTCAGGACAGACATAGCAACCCTAATAGGGCTGTCACGATTCCCACATTGCCGAAACAAGCAGAGGCTATGTGGGAAGAACCAAACAGAAATTGTTTCTTGATACAGATGTTGACAGAACAAGCAATGCTGTTAACTCTTAAACAAACATTCTCCTTTAGCCACCCTCAACCACCATTCCCCCGCCCAAACTCCAAAACTCTCTCAACTCTCAGATTCTCCATCTCAAAACCCTCTCTATCTAAATTATTCCTCCTCCTGATGAGTCTCTTATGCCTTCTGACTCCTCCCCTCCAGCACTCTCATTGGTTCATGCAAACGGCATATAAATATTCATGACCTGGGCAAATGCCACAAGCCCTTTCAAGGCATGTGCAATATCTAAGGAATGGTTTTAACAGTTCCATACACCCAGTGAGTTTCCATGGACAAGTAGGGATTCGAATCCATTCACCAGAGTCCAAGTTCATCACTCTATCCATCGCACCACACTAGGAATTAGTACTCCTTTCTATGTTAGATCAAAAATATTTTATAATAAAAGAGTATTTCAGGGGGTTCCAAAATTCACTGGTCAAGTGTCCTTTGGAAACTAGATCATTTACTAAAGGACACCGGTCAAGTGCAAAAATGGAAACGAGAGGGTGTATTTTGCACTGCCCAATTGCCAACAGCCACAAAACCATCAGGATCATTGTGGAAAAGGAAGGCTATGATTATAATTCATCAAATTCTAAACATCTGGCACATCACAATATGAAACTAATAAATTAACTTTTGTGCAATCAAGGTCACCGGCTGTTTTTACAAAGCTAACACCTTTGGTAGGAGCGCAAAAAGTTTAACAGGACAAGGGTTAAAATTAAACAGAAAAATAAATCACAGCAAAAAAAAAAAATTACCTGTAACCATGATCCTTGTAATCTTTAGTTGCAGAGTATACAATTGAGCTCGCTTTGACACTGATCTGTTGAAACAGGTTCCATACTTCCTGGTATATATATTGCTGAATGAAATAATAATAGACTGAATTAGAATGGAATGCAAAGAGGCATCTAAGAAGGATCAATACTAATAAAAACAAAAAGGATTCTATAATACAATAAACAAAGTCTAAAAAAAAGCATGCTGCTCCAGGGAACAGCAAGATCCTATGGTGCACAGTGTGCCCTTTTTACTGAGTGATGGGACTTGGGGTAGTTGTCAGAGTACGCTTGGAGGCACAAGGATTCAGTGAAGCTCTGTGGGTTGTCTGAACAAGTCCTGCTGCACTTTGGAGTCACCAGTATCTAGTACAGTCTGTAGCCAAACATCAAGGAGACAGCTAGATACAGCAGTGCAAACTCAAATTCCCAGCTCTGGGCTTACAATATGCTGGAGTGTGAGCATCTGGGTGCTACAATCGAAAATGTCACTTTTTCCAAGTTCTATTGAAAACTGTCAGGAGCACTTCCGGTAGAGAGAGAGAGACTCGGAGGTTGAGGGGGTGAATTCAGTACTTCTCTCCCCCACTCCCATATCAGCACTGCTAGTTTCCTTCCCAGCATCTAGTTCAGCCCTCTGTTCACGTCCTCGACCCGCTGGTTTCTCCTCTCACCATCTGCTGCCCTCTGCCCCATGCACGGGTCTATCCAGACCAAGAGCTGAAGACTTTGAAAGGTAACCGGGGGTCAATGCCTGCCAAAACAGGGCAAGATGCCTGGGGTCCGCGCATACATGTACAATTCATGTTCAAAACAGGACTCTAAAAATCTATATAAATTAACAGGGATGGTGGCAGGTCTGAATCCTGAATCTGATTCTTTGGCACTAAGTCCCCAAGCCTGAGTCGCTATTAAAAACAAACTTTGTTCCCAAATAAAAAAGGGAGGGGTGGGTGAGTCATGACTTGAGTCCAAGTCATTGGGGGGGGGGAAGGAGTCAAGTCCTGAATTGAGTCCCAGGTGCAACTTGGTTTCCTCAGTTCCCCATCCCTGCAAATCAAAATGTAGCAGCTACATTTATAAAACAAGTTTTGCAATCTTTCCATGGGGATAGACATCGTACATCCAGCGTAACAGATCCCATCAGCTGCCACTGGCCGCTTCCCAGCCATTTGGTTCACTATTCTTACATTTCCTGTAATGACTAAGCAGCCCAGCTGGTCAATGATGAGCACATCCAGAGGCGAGGGTGGCTGGCAGAACTTCTGCTGCAGGATCTGAAGGATCGGCTCCATCACTTTGGGGGTGTCCCTCAGCGCCACCGCGATATGCCCCAGCGCACGGATGGTGTGATCAGGAATGAGGTGGGCTTCCCTGGACGGATACAATTGCATCAGCATTTAAAAAGGGGGGGAAAGGGTGGGGCAGCTGCTTCTCGGAGAGGCACACCTGTAAAAGGTGTTGAACTAGTACTTGCAATGTGGAATCTCACCCAAATGAAGAAGGCTTTGTCTATCAATTGACTATGAAACAGCTTATTAATTAAGTATGCATAGAAGCATGATTTCCTTCTTTGCACAAAAGGAGAAAAATGTATTTGTTTGATCTAATCTCAAAGCAGGAAGACACGCAACACATCATCACCTGAATAGCTTTTAGAAAAAGAAGAAAGCTATTTTTAAAAAGACACTACAGCCCTCTACTGGCAGTTTAAATACACAGAACAGAGGAAAGCTTGACAGGGAAATTCATCTTGTATGCACACATCTTACAGACCTCTTACCACTGGCCATATAAAAGATTCATAAAGTAGATTCTTTCTTTCTTTATTCTTCTTAGAGCACTGCACAACTTAAGAGTTGTCTATCTGTCTGTCATTTCCACTTATACAATCCCCGTGGCGCAGTGGTTAAAACGCTGTACTGCAGCTAAAACTGTGCTCACGACCTGGGGTTCAAATCCCAGGTAGCCGGCTCAAGGTTGACTCAGCCTTCCATCCTTCCGAGGTTGGTAAAATGAGTACCCAGCTTGCTGGGGGGGCAATGTGTAGCCTGTATAATTAAAATTGTAAACCGCCTGGAGAGTGCTTGTAGCGCTATGGGGCGATATATAAGTCCAATAAATAAATAAATAAATAAATTATACACCACCCCTCAGTGCAATACACTCTCTGGGCAGTGTAAAAAAAAAAATACAAGAAAAAAATAAATACAAATAGACTGACTAGCTAACCTGTCCTTTAAATAAAACCATTAAAAACAGATGTACATAAAATATCAATGAAATTCAAAAAATTAAAATAATTAGGCTATTTTATCAGAAGTGGGCCGCTTCAACAGCATTATCTCAGCCATTTTCTAGTCGTTCTATCGTGCATGTGGTAGGGCCTAAATTGAATACTGTATTTTTCCGTGTATAAAACAACACTTTTCCCTTAAATAGTTAGACAAAAAATTGAGGGTTGTTTTATACACGGAAGGCAGCTGCTTTCCCTGCCTTTTGCAAAGCCACGGGGCTTAGCAAAAAGGAAGGGAAGGCTCCTGTCGGGTAACGCAGCCATGAAAGGGCTGAACAATTGCACCCCTTTGATCTTGAAGCCCTTTCACGGCTGCTTCAGGATCAAAGGGGTGCGATCATGCGGCCCTTTTACGGCTGTTTTATCCACCTTCCTGAGCCCCGCAGGGATCAAATTTTCTAATTTGGGGGTAGTCTTATACACAGAAAAATACGGTAAACATAAATTTCTCCACATTCACAGAAAATCTGTCCTGTATCCAAGTAGCTTCCTTTTACTTGAGTGTTCTTTAATCTTCATATTTTGTTTCAGAGTCCATTCATCCATTCAGAAAAGCATGTTGTTTTAATCTCCACTTGGTTCAGCCTGGCCTCTTAGAGCCTGAGAGATGTGCAGAAAAAATTCCCTCTATCTTAGCCATCATCCAGGGGCCTGGCATCCATGAAGTGAATAGATTTGGGGCTGTGTTACCTTATTCCGCTCATTGTTTGCTAGCATCTCTTGGTGTACTTCCCAAAAGGGCAATGGCAGCCAGATAATAGACTTTTTCAACGGGGGTAGGCAATACTGGATTGATTCACTAAAAGCTAAATTCACCTGTTTGGCATGGGCTGATTTATGTTATATGGTGCTAGAATATTCTTCTGTGAAGTAGCAAAGGGACAAAGATCCACCCCAGTGTGACTGTATTAATATTAATCAGTTTCCTAAGTAAGTTATTTCTGGTGACCACTTTATGTTTGATATAAAGTGCATCAAAGTCAGTTAATCACAAAGGCAGTAGCAGACACACATAAGAGTTTCCTGCTCATCTTACTGGTATCTTTTGAGACAATCACAGGGTGTAATGGCATCCCCACCCGCCCTTCCTGAAGGAAAATAAAAGGCTCCCTCACCCTACTAACTTACTTGTCACTCTCTTGTGAGATGTAGAGACGGTTAGACAAGCTGGCCAGAAAAGCTTCAACAATGACTGGGTCTATGGTCAGGCCAGCTTTCAAGCACCTGCAAGAAATGGGGGGAGATCAGGAGAAGATCCAAGGATTGTAGCACGCGTCATTAACAGCCATGCTTACGTCTAGATGGACATCCATTGGCAAGCCCCTAGTTTGCACCCGACTCTCGCAGACCCAAATTACATTGTCGAACCTGCCATTCACATGTTACATATGATAATGCAACATGCTTCTCTACATGCATGGCAGGTAAAGATCTTTTTATTCAGGCAGTCTTCTGACAGGTGAGTGACTAGTGAGGAAGAATCAGTTACCGCAGTGTGCGATACCATTTTTTACTTCCTGCTTTCAATTTGCTTGTTGTTTGAATATGATAATCGGTTTAACTGCTGCATTTCACCTTAAGCTGGTTTTGGTTTCTTTAATCAGATCATAAGCCCCCCCCCGCGCCCCAGAATCCCATGACTGAGAGAAAAGCCGAATGCACATGCACGAAATAAATAAATTAAACAAACGCCTAGTTTGTACCTGCAGATGTTATCGATTGCGATGTCTCGAAGTTGCTCATACATGGAGGTCTGGCTCTTCTTGCCTGACATCACGCTTACAGTGGACTCTGCATGCTCCGTGGTTATGCTGATCTTGATGTCATTGCCCCCTGCGGGAAGAAAAAAATGAGATGAGGAGGAATGTGGAGGTGAAATGCTCTGCTCTGTCTTTGATAGCTCTGTAGACCAGTGGCTTTAAGAGCATGGACAACCACTATGGACAAGAAGACCGCCCTCGCTGTTTTAGAGCAGCGCAATACAAGAATCCAACGATAAGGGAGCCCCCAGGTCAAGCCTCCACTCGTGGGAACATTTTGGACTAGCTGTTCACTCTCAGCCTAAAGCTACTTTACAGGGTTGTGAGGATAAAATGGAAAAAAGAACCATGAGTTCCTTGGAGAAAACGGAATATAAATGCAATAAATTAAATCATAATAGACCAGCTTAAAGCTGTCAAAATAAGAAAACCAAATTAACAAAACATTTATCAAAAATAATCCCAAAATTGCTCAGACTTTGTTTTTTTAATAGAATGCTAATATTAAGGCATGTAAAAATGCAAGTAGATAAATAGGTACCACCTCGGTGGGAAGGTCACGGCGTTCCGTGTCTAGCCACACTGGCATGTGACCACGGAAACTGCCTATGGGCAAACGCTGGCTGTATGGCTTGGAAACGGGGATGAGCACCACCCCCTAGAGTTGGACACGACTGGACTAAATGTCAAGGGGAATCTTTACCTAATATTAAGGAATACAATCTTGTCCTGTGTTTGAATGCCACAACGAGAAGAGCAATGCAATAAAAACAAAGCTGGCCAACTACACAAGAGGAGATCCTTAAAATAAAGTGTAATACCTGTATGGTATTGGTTATGGTACTTATAAAGTTTCACCAAGACTGGAGAAGGGATCACAAGGAAGTCTCTCAAGGAGGGAGTGACAGAGTGAACCACAACCGGGAATCTCTCACATAAGCGGCCTAGACCCTAAGGGAAAAAAGAAAGGTGAGCAATATTATACAGCAGGAAGGCAGGTGTGTATTCCTACTATACAAGAAAAGGCTGTGCCAGATTCTTCAGGGGATTTAAAAGGCGGTAACTGCCATGTGATGAGGGGGTTTATACTGTTAAATGTTGGCACTTGAAGCACTGATTGGAGATAACACGGGGGATTTCCTCTGTATTGCTATGCATCAAGCTGTCCAAACTTTAAGGCAAGTAACTTGTTGTGGGGAGTTAAAGAATCCTGCTGCTGTCTCTGATCACTGATCAGAGACAACGGCAGGATTACCCTGGGTGACTCTCATATATCCAATCAGAAAGGCCAGTGGCACAGGGAGGAATCTTGCAAACCAGAAAAGCAAGGGTGGCCTTCATCAGACACTTGGTAGCCCAGATGCGCTGAGCCAGGTTAAGCCAAAAAATAGATAACCTTCCAAAAGAGAATCATCGTAGTGTCATAACTGAATTAATCCATCTGCGAGGGCTTGGGCAGCCCTGTGTCTCTTAATATATGTCAGAAACAGAAGTTGTGGAACTTTGACATGACGGTTATGCAACTCAACCAACCTGCAAGCAGCAGATCAGAAGAGGCAGGTGAGCGATGATCACTTTGCTGGAGGTCTTGGACTGTACTTATAAAGTTTCACCAAGACTGGAGAAGGGATCACAAGGAAGTCTCTCAAGGAGGGAGTGACAGAGTGAACCACAACCGGGAATCTCTCACATAAGCGGCCTAGACCCTAAGGGAAAAAAGAAAGGTGAGCAATATTATACAGCAGGAAGGCAGGTGTGTATTCCTACTACACAAGAAAAGGCTGCGCCAGATTCTTCAGGGGATTTAAAAGGCGGTAACTGCCATGTGATGAGGGGGTTTATACTGTTAAATGTTGGCACTTGAAGCACTGATTGGAGATAACACGGGGGATTTCCTCTGTATTGCTATGCATCAAGCTGTCCAAACTTTAAGGCAAGTAACTTGTTGTGGGGAGTTAAAGAATCCTGCTGCTGTCTCTGATCACTGATCAGAGACAATGGCAGGATTACCCTGGGTGACTCTCATATATCCAATCAGAAAGACCAGTGGCACAGGGAGGAATCCTGCAAACCAGCAAAGCAAGGGTGGCCTTCATCAGACACTTGGTAGCCCAGATGCGTTGAGCCAGGTTAAGCCAAAAAATAGATAACCTTCCAAAAGAGAATCATCGTAGTGTCATAACTGAATTAATCCATCTGCGAGGGCTTGGGCAGCCCTGTGTCTCTTAATATATGTCAGAAACAGAAGTTGTGGAACTTTGACATGACGGTTATGCAACTCAACCAACCTGCAAGCAGCAGATCAGAAGAGGCAGGTGAGCGATGATCACTTTGCTGGAGGTCTTGGACTGAAGCTTTTCCGATAATTTGATGCACAAGTTTTCTGCTCCTTGTGTACAAAAAAGCAAAAAGGTTAAGCATTAAAAATGAAACAGACATTAAAAAGGAGGAAATATTAGCTTTTAAATGACAACTTCAGTGGTTAAATCTAGACAGATGTGATTAATTATTTACTTCTTGCTTTCCTTGGATAGGAGTAATCAAGTAGATCAAATTACACATTTCAGAAATCCTCAACATTACAGTCACAATCTTTTGTCCCGTCACTGATGAAGCCCAATTCACTTGGACAGTAGTAGTAACCATGTGCGGTCAAATCCATTCTGATACATGGAGATCTTTTTCAGGGTTTTCTAGGTAGAGAATATTCAGAAGTGATTGACCCTTACGTTCTTCTGGGGGGGGGGGAGACGTCCTGGGACTCTGCAGTTTTCCCATGGCCACAAAGGCTGGCTGTATTTGCATCAGGCACAGGAGGGAGTCAAACTCCCAACCTCTAGCTTTTTAGGCACAGGAGGGAATCAAACTCCCAACCTCTAGCTTTTTAACCAACTGCTTAACCTGCTGAGCCAGCCAGCCACTTTGATAAGACAAAACATACATCCTGTATACACTTGATATTGATAACGTTAGCATCACTGTTGGCTTAATTTAAGCAACAAGTCTCCTAAGAATCAATACATTTTCAATCAAACCAATACCACATAGATTTTTTTAAAATATAAATAAGATTTCAGAACACTGCACATGTAACTATATAGCAGTTCAGTGGCAAAGCAGAAGCTTTGCATGAGGGGCACTGCCAGCTGAATTCCTGGGATCTCCAGTTAAGATGAGATGAAGATGAAGGGAGGAGATCTTTTCCTGAGAGTATGCTAGTTAAAGGAAGCAATACAGTGGACCCTTGACTTACAGACGGCTTGACTTACAGACTTTTTGAGTTACAGACTTCTCTGGCCACAAAATTTAGGTTTGACTTGCAGCCGGAGAATCAACTTACAGACCAGAAAAAAACCAAAATGGAACAAAAACGGCCTGTTACGGGATTAATCGGTTTTCAATGCACTGTAGGTCAATGGAGACTTGACTTAGACTTTTTGACTTGAGAACCGCCTTCCAATACGGATTAAGTTCTCAAGTCAAGACCCCACTGTACGGGGTTTGATGGGACAGGGAAACATAGGGCCCTGGAGGTTCTTGGAGTGTACATCGCAGGAGTCTTAGCACGGTTAACCAGCTGTGGAGGTAATTGGCATTGTAGTCCAACAATAGTTCAACAGTTACACATTCCCCATCTGGGGGTTAGATGGACAAAAAAGGTGACCTGGTTATAAGGCATCTCTTTATGGTCGTCCTGGTTGTAGTGCATAAGTCTGCACCACATTTGTTCTGAAATAAGCTTCATTGAAATTAACAGGACGTTCCTAGTCAGTGCGATGTAAAACCACATCATACGTTTTCTGAAGGTTGGGGCAGACCCTTGATAGGCCGGGTGTGGTGAGCTGAATTAAGCTAGGACCTACTCTTCTCATTTTTGTTGTGTTACAAAAGAACCACAAGCACAACCATCACAAGCATCCTAAAATAAGAAGATATGCATGTAAGCCAATGAACCTTGCTCATCTTTCACGGCCCACACCATGAGATCCACACAGGCTGCATTCGCCTGACAGCGCAACTTCAGTGGGTTAAGCTCGTTGTGCAATCGATCCACATCGTGAAGGAGTTTCTGGAGTTCTGCCTGGCTGCTGTTGAATTGCTCCAGCACAAAATCGTGAATTTCCTTCACAAATGAGTTTGGGAGATCTGGAAAGGCGAAGAGAAAAAATATAAAATCTTTTCACAGTGGATATATCTGAACGCAGAGAGGAAGAGCAAGAGAGAGAAAAGATAAAAAGTGATGAACTACATGTTTTTAAAAGAAACTGACTGCAAGAAAATTGCAACTTTTCATTGCTTTGAAACTTGATTTAGAGAACACTGGCTGATTTAAACTGTGGCTTCGGAACAAGCCAGAAAATAAGCCGACAATTTTATCCTGATTTGTTCTAATGAACAAATTTAAACAAACCCTAGTTTTCTAAGTTCAGACACAGAGAGAAGCTGCCTTCTGTATAAAAGCAGAAAACAAAAGCACCCAACCTCCCCCCCCTCACAGTTTTAGGCCTTTTTATGTGGCAGGAAACTGTCGTTTCTGATTATATCTGAGCTAGCCCACACCGTTCAGCACAAAAATCTTATCTCCTAGAAACTGGAAGCTTAGTCATTCAGACACCATACCTTTCATATTGTACAACGTGTCTCTCAGCATCTTGAATTGGGCGACATAAAGAGGATCACTGAAGATCTTGTAGAACATATTCTCATGAGGATTTGCCTAAAACACATTTAAAAGGAAGAGGCAGTATTTTGAGAAATTATTTCAGAAGCAATTAGAGATAGTTTAAGATGTTTTAGGTAAAGGTAAAGGTTCCCCTTGACATTTAGTCCAGTCGTGTCCGGCTCTAGGGCGTAGTGCTCATCCCCATTTCCAAGCCATAGAGCCAGCATTTTTGTCCGAAGACAGTTTCTGTGGTCACGTGGCCAGCACGACTAGACACGGAACACCATTTACCTTCCCACCAAGGTGGTACCTATTTATTTACTCGCATTTGCATGCTTTCGAACTGATAGGTTGTCAAGGAGCTGGGACAAGCGATCGGGGCTCACTCCATCGTGTGGATTCAATCTTACGACTGCAGGTCTTCTGACCTTGCAGCACAGGCTTCTGCGGTTTAACCCAGTGGTTCTTAACCTTTTTGAAAGAAACGCCCCCTTGAGCCATTGAGGAAGTTATCATCGCCCCCCTCCCTGAGGTGATGATATCTTACCTACCTACCTACCTACCTACCTACCCACCCTCCCTATGTTTTAGGTAAAGGTAAAGGTTCCCCTTGACATTTAGTCCAGTCGTGTCCGGCTCTAGGGCGTAGTGCTCATCCCCATTTCCAAGCCATAGAGCCAGCATTTTTGTCCGAAGACAGTTTCTGTGGTCACGTGGCCAGCACGACTAGACACGGAACACCATTTACCTTCCCACCAAGGTGGTACCTATTTATTTACTCGCATTTGCATGCTTTCGAACTGATAGGTTGTCAAGGAGCTGGGACAAGCGATCGGGGCTCACTCCATCGTGTGGATTCAATCTTACGACTGCAGGTCTTCTGACCTTGCAGCACAGAGGCTTCTGTGGTTTAACCCACAGCACCACCACATCCCTGTAGTTGTTTTACTAGGTAGAAAAGTCCAGCTGAATTCTTTATACATGCCTTATTCCTGTGAAAACCTAAAATTAGTTCTATGAAGGTCAAGGACATGCTGGCTGTTTGGTACATAAAAATAAGCTAAGATTCCTGGCATGAAATGTGAATGAGCATCATCCTAACACATGTAGCTCACTTTGCTCCTGCCTTTCACAAGAACAAATAAATACACTGGACAAGAACTGCACCACCTGCCATCCGAGCCAAGGATTATAGTTTGGTAACCAAGTCTTGAATTAAACCAGAGTTTCTTCCTGGCTTACCTATCATAGCTTCTTTGGATATAACGATTCACAATCTTGGGTTTTGGTAACATATTCATTGATTTGTGCCTGCTTTCTTTACTTGCTTCCACAGAAACATAACAGGATAGGCTGTATGTATTAGCGAGCAGTTCATTTACAAAGCTAGGATTCCTGGCTTATCATTATCATTATGCATGAAACTGGCTACATAGCAAAATTCAATAATACTGTACTGATATCCTTCCACAAAATGTTAATCCTAGGGACAATGATAGTGGTCTTGGATGTGGCCAGATTTGGCCAGCTAGCCATTACGCTAAGGCAAGGTTGGACTAATCAAATGGATTGAGTAGCGCATGGTGATTTAAGGTCATTTAGCTTAATGATTTAAGGTCATTTAAGCTAGCAAAGGCCCCGTATTGTCATAAAATAATGTCATAAAAAGTTAACAAACCTCAATACACAGACACACACACACACAGAGAGTATATTTTAAATTCTAGTGTTTTTGGAACTTTTATATATAGTTATGAAGTTATGAAGATGCTGTTTTGTTGATTTGTCATTGGTTTTGTGTACTGATTCAATGTTTCAATGGCCTTTGGCTAAAATTTGAATAAAATTTGAATTTTATAGTGATCTATATTTGTCCATATCTGGCTCATATCTGTCACTCTTGAATTGGCCTTCTCAGCCACACTAGACGCTGTGCCAAGTCCTCCAATACAAAGCACGTTACCGTAGTCTCTCGAGACTGAAGGATGCCTAATCTGGCTCATCGCTGGAAAAGCTTTAGGTATTAAAGAACAACCAGGGACAATGAAATATGCATGTCTTACTTATTTACACAGAAGCATGTTAACACAGGGATTGCAGAAAATAGTTTCGGATCAGATTTCACTAAGAGAATTAAATGGAATTCACTAAAACATGTGTGCTTAATTTAAAGGGTTTAAACAGTATTTCCACATTGTTACGGCAACAGATGAGCTTCAAATGAAATAGTTCTTGCACATATTTCTTAATATTCCCAGTGCACAGACGAATAGTTTTTAGATCCAAGTCCCTTCCATTCACAAGAAAATGTAGCAAATTAATATTTTTGAAAAACAATGTCATAAAAAGTTAACATACCTCAATAACCTCAGCAACAACCGCATCTAGGTTTTTTAGAACAGAATCTCCAACAATCTGTTTTACCTACATGCAAAAAACCAGAAATCAGACAGCACTTCTACAGAACACAATTAGGAACCCAATCTTATATAAGCTTCTTTGAGAAAAAGCATCTGAACACACACCCAAACAGAATTCCTCGTAAATATACATGGAATTGGGCTCTTAGGTTAGACACAGAAAAAATCCACATTAGCACAGTCACTATATTATGACATCAGCCTTGAAACAGTATGAAGATGGTAGCTGCAACTTTCAGCTCCCGCAAAAAAGGCAGTGCAAAACAGCATCATCTTAAAGAGTCAGATTGAATGCACTGTATCAGTCCACCTGTTATATCTATTCATTTTAAAAATCCAAATATTTCTCAAGTGGCTAATCCAAACCAGAAAGATATCCCAGCTTGTGCAGCAAAGGAAGTTCATAAATCCTCCACCAGATTCATGGCTTGGTAAGATTACATATGAGCATAATAGACTAGTTAGGCTTTTAACGTGAGCCATTTCAGCTCCTGTTCCCTGTTTGGCAATACTGTTTTTAGTTGGTACAAAAAATTCCGTATGTCCTATTTAGACAACTTTTCTAGAACTCGGAAAAAACTGGTTTTTTGGAGTATAACTTTCAGAATCTTCAGCTAACTTGGCCACTCCTTGTGCTGCTTAGGGGGATTCTGGAAACTGGTGTCTAAAAAAGCAAACCTTCTCAAAAACTAACCTTGGCTATTTATCCATAATTAATATATAATTAGGTGCTTACTTAGGCCTAGCACATTCCTGCACTCCAGGAGCACAGCAAAGGTATTTTCTAAATGACTTGACTTACCATATTCAGTAGCTGCTGGAGCATATCTAGTGGAATGCTAAACTCTTTATTGCTAATAACATTAAAGAGCGGAGAAACGGAGAAGCTGGAACTAATTGTGGAGAAGTAATACTCAGGATCTACTGCACTCCCGTCAGGAAGGTAGGACCCTGTTCACATAAAAACAAACGAACAACAAAAGAGATCAAATGTTGCCGAATTTCATTGTATGTGTATATACTTACAATGACAATAAATTGTTGTTGTTGTTGGATAACAGCCTATCCTCCATATTATTTTACCCAGGCTTCGTGGTCTAGAGAGGACACTGTGTGTGTTTTATGCAACCTATTCCAAATAAGGTTATGCAAGCTATTCCAAATAAGGACAATCCCCACACATATACACAAAAGCACAATAATGAGCTAGGACACTTGTCTTTCAACCTGCGTGCTGCCTATAGAATCTGGAGGCTCACAAGAACAGTAACTTCTGTAAAGGCTCATCTGGAAGAGCAGGACGTACAAACTGAGTTTTTTTTCTGGGATGATCTGTGCACAGTGGAAATGATTCACGCAGTGGATTTCATGGGAATAACGAGGCCTTCCCTAAACACGGCTGCTCCAGAATGCTTACCCGATGCCACTAGTGTAGCAGACATTTAAATGAAGTCGGAAGCAGTGACACAATACCTTCGCAAAGGACTCGCAATCCAAGTAGGTAAGACACATGGCAATTATGACAAAGAAGAGCATTATCTCCCCCATTTCCTGCATGTCACTCTTCAGGAAAAGCAAAGCTGTCTCATGCTCAACATATATAAACCCGTCTACAGACACTAAAAGCGACTTCGCAATCATGCAACTTATTGTCATGAGGGCATACATGATTCAAATGTTCCGTCTCCCTTTACAAATAGCCTTGCTCTGTATTTGTAAATTTAGAGGGTAATTAAAAATCACTTGTCTCTCATTTTAAACTTTAGGAAAGTACAGTATCATTGACACTCAGCATGATGTACTAGATAAAGTGATGTACTGTACTAGGACTCGGGAGATCTGGTTTCTCCCTGCTTGGCTATGGAAACTCACTGAGAGGTGGAAATGGTAAAGGTTCCCCTTGACAATTTGTCCAGTCGTGTCTAACTCTAGGGCGCAGTGCACATCCCCATCTCCAAGCCACAGAGCCAGTGTTTGTCCGTAGACAGTTTCCGTGGTCACGTGGCCAACGCGACTAGACACAGAACACCGTGACCTTCCCACCGAGGCGGTACTTATTTATCTACTTGCATTTTTATGCTTTCGAACTGCTAGGTTGGCAGGAGGTGAGACAAGCGATGGGAGCTCACTCCATTGCGTGGATTCGATCTTACGACAACCGGTCTTCTGACCTTGCAGCACAGAGGCTTCTGTGGTTTAACCCACAGTGCCACCATGTCCCGGGAAATGGTAAAACCAAACCTCAAAAATGACACCTAACCGCGGTTTAACCCGCAGCACCACCACATCTCAAACCTCAAAAATGACACCTAACTGGGAAGCCCTAATAGGGTCACTATAAACCGGTTCTGACTTAATGGCACATACACACATACAATCCAATTCATTCTTGCTTAAATTCACTCTCATTAATCTTCTGAGTTATGCTTGGCTAGAACAATAAAGCTCTTTGTAACTAAGCAACTAGTGAATGACAGATTTTTTTAAGAGTCTTTCTTTTGCTCAGGCCATGAACACTAAGAACACATTTTGCAATTACACTAATTTCAGCACAAGCTCCTTACAACCTCATAGGCTTGGGATCGCTGTTGTGTATCCTAAATCCACCTGTATGTACTCAGAAATAATTCTCATACTGTTCAACAGAGCTTATTCCCTAGTAAATGTATACCAGCTAGCCATCTAAGTGGGCCATTTTAAACATAATGAGCACTCCAGCCATGACTCCATTCACTCCAAAACTGGATGAGCCTCAAGTACAGAAGGATTTTATTATGTCTTAGTAAACACCAAAAAGCCAAACTATACCTTCAAAATACTGCACTGCAGTACCTCCTGGAGAACTGGGAGGCGGAATTCCACGTTCGGGACTGACCTGAAACATAATACAGAAAAATATAGTCAAGGAAGGGGGAGTTGATTTCAATCAAATTACAATTTAAATCATCGTTTAAATAAATGTAAAAGAATCAGATTTTTTTTTGGTTGACAAATAAAATCATTTTTTTAAAAATTAACTCATGATTTAAATAAATTTGATTTTTTTAAAAATAAGATTTTTATCCATCCTGCAGTCAAGCCTCTTTGCACTGAGGAAAGAAACCATATTAAGACTTGAACAAGTAAAACAATAATCTTTGACCTATTTTGAAATAACAAACACACCTAAAGTAATGGAACCCAAATACAGTCAAGCTGTTTTGCACCGGGGGGGGAGAGTGTAATTGCAAACTGCAATCATCTTCACCCTGTCAATGCTGTATTCATTGCTTTACCCCTCAAATCATTCAGAACACTAATCTCAGACTTCTTCCTCTCTCATAATTTCCACTTTATGTCTCAGCTCTCTAAATGCTTCACACTTGCTAAGGCCATCAAACCGTCCCCTATTTCTGAGAAAAGTGCCAGTACTGGGAGCTGCCCATTGGGAGCCCATCCTGCCATCTACCTTATTCAGTATTGGCTACTTTGATTTGACAGCGGGTCTCAAGGGTCATAGCAGAGAAATGCCTTTTTCATCACTTTCTCTTCTTTTTCCAGTGTTCAACAGAGTAGCAGGATCAAAGACCCTTTACCACCATTTGCAAATGACTGATACAGACAGACAAATATGGAATCTAATTATCAACAACCCCTAAAGTACAGGACTGAAAAAAAGACCACTAACCACCTAAAATTAAGTCCCACAGATTACAATATTGTAAGATACACTATCCACAATACCCTTGCCAGAATGGGGGTGGGAAAGCAGCCCTTTCTTGTCATTTCCTGCTTGATCCCTGATTTAACTGGATACCCTGAGATAAAGCCGTAACATCCTGCAGGCAAAGCAGGGGCTCTGACACTGAATTAAGGGTCTTCTCCAAACAGATCCCTAAAGCTATGCATGATAAGACACTGATATTCAGTAATGGGTGCATCGCCGTGATGCTTAAAACTTGCCCACGGTAGACATCAGTTACACATCTGTTTTATTCTAAAAACAAGCCAACCTGTGTGATGCTGGATACACTGCTAGTCTTCCTCTTTAAAGACCCTTCTTGGCAGACCGAGAGTAGAGAGTTTGGGAGTATTGACCTAAAGTCATTAAAAGACCGTCTTCGAATACCATCCAGCTCATTAGGGGCTCGGAGAGAAGACGGAGTAATTTTAGGGAACAGCTTCGACAGCAGAGATTCTTCAGAGTTGCTATAACGTCCAAATGCTCGTGAAATTCCAAGCAGGCATGGCACAGCATACTTGCATAAGTATTCTGGAAAACAAAGATACAGTACAGTAATTTTTAGCTTCTAAAGATGTGTTTCCCCCCTCCCCAGGGGCAACTGCTGCATCCACTTTCTAAAAGCACTCCTGTCATTATGCCCTGGTTCAGAAATAAAAAAAACCAAACCAGATTCCCAGCATTTGATGAGCTTTGGACTCACATACACTTCTCTCCCCTCTTCTCCTCTTTTGTGGCTGCAGAAGGGCCACCATCTTCAACTTTTAAGCAGATTGCATTTCCCTTTTACATCTGAAGCCAGGAAACTGTGGTTTGTTGAAACCTGACATTCAGAGAATAATCAGGATCAAACTGAAGTTTCAACTCCTGTTCTGTTGCAGATGTAACGGAGAACTATGGTGTGTTTAAAATTAGGAGCAGAGCTTTCTGAATTCTTTCTTACCACTTAAAGTGGAGAAGATTAAAAGGACATGCCAGTTTAAGGTTCACCGCAGCATGACAGCACAGGCCAAGCTCTTATAGTGGTATTATGTTTCAAAATCAGCCTTTTGTGCAATTTTTTAAACTGTGGGTTTTTGTTTTTTGTTTTTTAATTAGCTGCTGCTCCACTCTCTTATGAGCAAAGATGGCCACTGACTGGAGGAGCAGCAGAAATTTCCAGCTGGCTTTGCAGATGCCAGAATAACCTCACTAGTCTGGATGCCTCTATCAAATCAAGAGATGCCACAACCTTAAAAGTACACCAGCAGAAATGTTTTCCTTAGGATCATGGTCACAGCTTCATCTTATATCTGAACTGAATCATGTATCTGTACTAAAAAGGAAAACAAGCAACACAGATCTCTTTTTTAAAATGATCAGTGTTTTTTGCACTTAAATGCTGGCTGCTATTCTCATTATACCAGACCGGAGCAAAATGGAGAAAATAGGGCAAAGAGCAAATGAATTCTGTCGTTTCTGACTGGTTCAAATTCAGAAATACTCTGGGAATAAAGTGTTGTGCTTACGGACTTTTTTTGTTGTCCAAAGATTTAGTGACAACCTCAGTTTAGTCAGTCTTCTGACTAACTATGTGACCATTTGGAGGGATAATAGTATAACAGCACTGTACTCGTATACAGTGGTGCCTCGCATAGCGAGGTTAATCCGTTCCGGATTAACCTTCGCTATGGCGAAACATCGCTGAACGGGACAGAAAAGCCCATAGTTCCAAATGGGCCGAAAACTCACAGTTCAGCGATGCTTCCCGGGTCCGGCAGCCATTTTCGCGCCCTCATTAAGCAAGGGCAGGGCGCGAAAACGCTGCGCGCGGCCATTTTGGGGCTTCCGGCGGCCATTCTGGAGCCGCCGAACAGCTGATCGTCGGACTTCGTTTTGCGAAGATCGGTAAGCGAAACGCTTACCAATCTTCGCAAAGCGAGTTTTGCCCATAGGGGCCATCGGTATGCGATCGCATATGCGATCGCTGAGACCCCATCACTATGCGATTTCGTCGTTATACGGTGCGCTCGTTAAGCGAGGCACCACTGTACTAAGATTGGTGCTATATTGTACTGTAGGATGCCAACAATGAATACCATTAAAACCAATTGAATTTTACATTTGCTGTAATAAAAGCAGCAGCACGTACTAGACCAGCAGATCCAATACCTTTATCCTGGGCTAGAGGAGACTGGCACATTCCAAGCAGGACCTGCATCACTTGTAAAATTGCCTCTATAACCTGGAATATGCAAGAAGAGAGATTGTGGAAATCTGCAAGGAGTAGTGAAGTGGGAAACATTTAGAAAGAAAACCATTTCTTCATGCATGATGAAGATACGGAGCAAAGGCCACAAAAGCTGACACCAAATAAAATCTGTTGGCTATTTGGATGATGTCACTGTGCTCTTTGTTGTTTCTGCAGCAAGAGATGACAGGCCTGGAAATATTCAGAAGTATTTATGCTACTAATTCCCTTAATCCTATTGCAAGGGGACAACAGGAGGTCAATCCTTCATCTATCTTATTTCAAAGTTCACCGATGTTGTTGTTTAAACTGCTTCTTTCTAAAAGACACAGAGGCTCTATTAATCAAATATCTGGACGGATTAAAAAGAATTTTAATATATTTTTAATGCTTTAAAAATGTTTTTAAGGATTATTTTTATAACTGGTGATATGCACATTACTCCAGTCTATAACTGCTTTCATGACCAGGTAATATATATGTTTAGAGAAGCATCTTAACAAATCAGCCTCTCCGGCATGTATGTGCGTGCTACCTTTGCTCATTTACCTGTTCTCTCAGAGTAGCATCCCTGTAAGCAACATCGGACAATAAAGTAACCAAACAGAAGCTGAAGTTCTCTGGAACTGGAAGCATACCTGTAAGTTTAGCAACAAATGCAACAGGATTATGATTAGGCTGCTGATCATACATCAACCATTCTGTTTCATTTCAATTCTCTACTTATACTTCATACACATGTCAAGCGAATAACCCAGGACTGACAGGAGCAAAAAAGGGGCTCGAGTCCAATTCTTCCCATCTCCCCAACTCATGCACAGAGTCATAAGTGTCAAAGCCCTTGACAGGTGAACCCACTACGTTCATCACAAAGTTCTGGTTTCCCAGTCTGGATGTGACAGAGAAATTATGGTTTAACAAATTACGAGGCACATCAAAAATTAAGTCTATCACATACACACACAAATGTCATATAGCGTGTCTGTCTTTTTATCAGTAGGATGTAAGAATCTTTTAGAAATAATCCCGGTAGTTTAAGAATCACTTACCAATGAGAAATAACTATCTGGCTCAGAAACTATAACCCGAACCTAATGACACAGGCACAGACCAACTGCAGAGATTTCTTCCATGGAAAAATTACTATGCCAGATAATAGAGCACCATTTACACATAGTTGAGCAACCTTCACATTCTCTCAGTGGCAAGGGATGTCTTTATGAAGAATTATCTCCACACATCTGGAAGTACATCTAATGCCTGGAGGCACGAGATGAAGTAAAGTTTACTGCCGTCATGGAGATCAATCAGTTCCTGGATGAGGGGAATGCCCTCAAGTGCTACGCCTCTTACTCTGAAGTCATACTTTGGCTTCCATGAAAAGACAGGATAATCACAACTACATCCAAAACATATCCCTGATCTACCAAGGTTGTCTACCGAAAAAAGAAACACTACTAATTAGTTTGGCATGACTCGTTTATGAACAATCCAGTCCTGCTTTTAGAATTCACCCAAACAAACCTACAGTACTACCTCGCATTACGTTAATTCGTTCCAGCGAAATAGCTGTAGAACAAAAACATCGTAATGCGAAAATAAAAAGCCCACTGAAACACATTGAAACCCCTTCAATGCGTTCCAATGGGCTGGAAACTCACCATGCAGCAAAGATTCTCCATAGGGCGGCCATTTTCGGTGCCTGTGAAGCGAGGAATCCGTCCCAGAAAATAGCGGGGAGCCATTTTATTTACCCAGCGGCCCTTTTGAAACCGCCAATCAGCTGTCCGAAAATCATTGTTTTTCGAAGAATTGGGTCCCGAAGCAGGGAACCGATCATCACAAAGCGAAAAAACCTTATTCAGCCCATCGTTTTGCGATCACAAAAAGATCGTCGTAATGCAGTTTTGTCATAATGCAGGGCAATCATAAAGCGAGGCACCACTGTATATCACAGAGAGTGAGTGAGTGAGAGAGCAAAACTAATGATACTTTCTCTGCACAGGCTGCAATCTTATTTTTATTTTAGTAGAGACAGTGAAATTAGCTTTTCTAGACTACTGCCATGTTAGCTCTGGGATTCTAAAACATACTTTCTGATTCCTATTAGGGAATAAACCCAGCCAACAGCAACGATATTTTATTCCAAGAAATCATATATCTTAACTACAGAAATGTACTCAGGCCTACATGTGAAGAGAAAGAATATCACCTCGGCTTTTCCTCGAATTGCTTTCTTCTATCCATTGCACTTTGGGAATGCCCCTCAACAGTCGGAGAAGATAAGGAACAAGAGTATCTTTATGCTGGAAAGGAAAGGAAAAATGTTTCAATCACAAGAAATAATTTAGATGCAGAGCAAACAACAATGTACAAAGCTATACACTCAAGCTGGCTGTATGTATAACCTGTAGTTCCAACTCTAAGGTCATAAGGGTCTATAGCGGCAGAAATCTGACTCGGCCTGTTAAGCGCAGAGGGAGGAAGAGAGAAAATGTGGTGGCAGGAAAAGAGACAAATCCAGCAGAAGCAATGGAACGGCCTCGCTCTTCCTCCGAGACAACCAAGTGGAGCAAGAGAGACAAAATAGGAATAGCAAAAGAGGTGCTGCAGCTCCCTTAGAGAGCCAATTTGGCGGCTCCTGTGAGAATAATGTCACAGTTCAGGATTGGGACCCCTTGACAGCTGCTCTTCTCCCTCTCTGCCGGTCTCCAAATCAAGAAGGTCCATGAAGGCTCTTCTTCAGGTGCTCCAAAACCTACCAGGGGAAAGGGCCTACTTTATGCTGGAACCCCAGCCATGAAATGGTATTTTCAGGAAAGCCTGTCCAACATTAATTCCAGGACCAAGCAAAAGACTTTCTTCTTTTCTGAACTTTCTGATCCCTCATAATGTGCTTTTATGCTAATCTTTCATCTGATGGTGCTCTAATGCTTTAATATGATTCAGTTTATTGGAATTTTGGCCAGAATCCTGTTGATTTTTCATGTCTGCATAACAAAAATACAGAACTTGTGGCAGATAATTGAACCAAACTAACGAAGTGCCAGTGAAGCACTGCTCACAAGACAAGTGCCTTACTAATGAGCTTCCATTAGCTGCCAAGGCTTCTGCTTTTTAACTTAGTTATGTATTTACAAACCTACTGGATGTTGGCTTTTTTGCATGTTCTAAGCTGCCCTAAAACCCTGCCAAATGTACAGCGGTACCTCGCATTACGACGTTAATTCGTTCCAGCGAAATCGCTGTAGAACGAAAACGTTGTAATGCAAAATTAAAAAGCCCATAGAAACGCATTAAAACCCAATTAATGCGTTCCTAGGGGCTTGAAACTCACTGTCCAGTGAAGATCCTCCATAGGGGCGGCCATTTTCACTGCCTGTGCAGCGAGGAATCCGTCTCAGAAAAGAGTGGGGAGCCATGTTTTTTACCCTGTGGCATTTTGAAACCACCAATCAGCTGGCCGAAAATCATCGCAAAGTGAAATTCCCCCATAGGAAACATCATTTTGCGATCGCTTTTGCGATCGCAAAACCTTCAACATAAAGCAATTTCGTTGTAAAACAGAGCGCTCGTAATGCGAGGCACCACTGTATTTTTTTAAGACAGAAATTCTTACCTGCAGGTCAGACTCAATTAGAAAAATTCCCAAAGCAAGCACAGCATCTCTGCGGCGTTCATCCAACTGAAAGATCCCATGGATATCTACTGGGCACATACACAGTAGTTTTTGTACCTGAGCAAATCAGAAACAAATGTTATGAGGACAACTGTTATGAAAAGGAATACATTTCCAAATGTCTGCCATCAGCTACTAGCACAAAAGTATGTGTTACAAGCAATAAAAGATCTTAACAGTTTCACACATCATCTAAACAAATGTTTTTCGTTATATAGTTATTTAAATAAACCCTCTTCCAGTGTTTCCAAATGTCTCTCCACTCTTTCTTTCCTTCTCTATACCCACTCTATGGCCGTATGCAAAACCCATTCAACATACCAGTAAGAACCAGTATCAACAACTATTGTTGCCCAGTTAGCTCATAATCTGGCCCAACAGGAAGATGTAGCCAGGTTTCCTTTCCAGCCATTAAACATATAAATAGACTCAAGAGGAAACAGAAAGTGTCTATTGACAAATGCTACTCTCAGTGGCAGATCTTCAGCTTACCAACCATTCAGAATTTCGCATGGATTTCTTTTGCTTTAATTGTCTGAAATACGAATCTTCTGCCTCTCCACCCTGCCGTGTGTTGTTGCTGCATGCTGCAAAGTAGTTTCCTCTTTTCTTGGGATCACAGTCACTTCTGATTTATGGCAACCCTAACAGAGCTTGAGATATTTGTTCAAGGATTGGTTTACAACGGCCACTTCCAAATGAACTTCCAGGGCTGAGCAGAGATTTGAACTTATGTTGGTGGAGTTCTAGACTAATACACTGCCCAGTGGTTCTGCACAAAGTCTCTCTCAAGACAGTGTAGGCTTGGGTGGGCAAAAGGCAGACCTGCATCTACTACCACTTGGGTCCTTTTAAGGAGAAAGGCCAGGTAAAAATATTTTGAATGAATGAATATTAGATCTCTGGGTCTTCTGCTGTAGACCAGCAAGGATTTCCGATTCTTAATAGTTTAACAATAGCCATTGTTAATCACCCTTCCTCTTATTCTGTTGGGGGGGGGTGAGAAAAGAGAGAATCACCAGAATAAGATCCTGATATTGAGATTACTGAGTTTAGTATGATTGGATCAAATGCTACTTCTTTGGCACCTACTGCTGGTTAGTAGAATTCAGGGTTCTACTGAAAAACAAAAGCGATCTACAATTTTTAATTCTTACCCCAAAAGTTGATAGTTTTGATATGAAACAAAACAGTCTATAACCAAGCACTATAGAACATTGAGGATTAACAAAACTTTGAGGATTAACGCTTCCACATTTTTGTAGATTGTAACTCACATGCTCAGATGTATGGAGTGGTATTCAAAAATTTCGACAATACCTCTCAGTGGGGGTGGAATTACAATATAGATAGTAAGGTCAGGCAGAGCTCTTGAAAGCTCACACCATAATAAAAGTGCTAGCCTTTGAGGTTCCAGAACATTGATAGGGCTATCCTTTTTGTTACTAAAGCCAGCAACAACCAGTGATTAACATTATAGAAAGACAACAAGGTTGATCAAAAAAGCAGGAGCACCAAAACTAAGCAGTTACTGCCCATAAAAGGAAAAGCCTGCTAGTTTATCAGATTTTTTTAAAACATCTACAAGAAATGGCTGGTCATTATCTTTATTAGGACCAATCACAATGCCAGGGAACAATGAGCAAGCTGTTGAGTTCTTCAAACTTTTCTTTTGCACACAGGATGACATAAAAGGCACAGACTTTGCAAGGGGATAGGAGAAAAAGTAAAAAAGAAACCAACAATTCCCAATGTTATGGCCATGAGGTCAGCACTTTGCACCCAATATCACAAGAGAACTCCAATCTGAATGAAATGTTCTCTCCTAGATATTAAAAAAATAAAATCAAAAACCTTTATTGGCATTAAAACCAGTACAGTAACCGTACAATCAAGATTACACTTTCCTCTGCAATAAGATAAATATGGTCAAGTTACGTCAAGGCCCCTTGAAACAGTCAGCCTAGTTTATTACCATAGCAAGGCATTCAGCTACCCGCTCAGTCAAATTAGGTTGTTTATGTGCTAACATCATTCGGATTAAGCTCTCAGGGGAACCAGAGAAATTTGAAATAAGAGAGTTAAGTAGTAATTGACAGAGCTTGCTAAAGCAGTGAAAAATATATTGTAGGTACCAAGCTACACTGGATTCTAAAATGAGAGTAAACCCACCCTCTCCCCAACACAGTTTAAATCATTTTTTAAAATTTAAATAATGATTTTAATTCAGATTTGACTTTTTAAAAAATCACTGATTTTTATCCATCCTGCTGCACAGGGCCTATTAGACATTTCAAGGGCCCCCGACAAGTTGCACTCAATGGACCTTATAGTGGCACTATTTTATTTATTTATTAGATTTTTATCCTGCCCTTCTAGACTATGCGGCTCACAATAAAATTATTCATAAAACAATTAAAACCATGATTTAAAACCTCCCCCCTTCCTATCACGGCAGCAACACACATACTGCTTACTGGCAGCTCTGCTCACGTTAGCAAACTGCACCAAGGAAAGCTCCTGGTCCCTGCGGCCATGATACAAACGATACCAGTCCCATCTCCAACATGTGTATAGTGGGAGACAGGCAGGGTTCACATTACTCAAGGAACCAAGAACTAGGCAGGGGTGGTGCTCAGTGGAGCTCCCAGTCTACATGCCTCTGCTCACCAACATCCTGTCTTTTTAACAGTACAATGGTGCCTCGCTTAATGATTGCCTCGCTTAGCGAGGAAATTGCTTGATGATTAGGTTTTTGCGATCACAAAACCAATAGCAAAACAATGGTTTAAATGGGAAAAATCCGCTTCACGATGATCAGTTCCATGCCTCGGGAACCTATTTTCGCATTACGATGATCTAAAAACAGCTGATCGTTGGGTTTCAAAATGGCCACTGGGATGCACCCCCTGCTGTTTTCTAGGATGGATTCCTTGCTTTACAAGCAGCAAAAATGGAGGATCTTCGCTGGACAGTGAGTTTTCAGCCCATTGGAACGCATTGAAGGGTTTTCAATGCGTTTCAATTGGCTTTTTTATTTCACTTAACGAGGATTTCGTTCTACAGCGATTTCGCTGGAACGGATTATCCTCATTAAGCGAGGCACCACTATATAAGCTGTCTTGCATTCTTTTTAAAGTAGAAAGCATGGTAAAAACATTTTTTTAAAATAATAAAAAATATCACCTGATATCTGCCTACAAGGCTTTTAAAACCTTCTGGAGAGGCCCTTCTCTTGGTTCCACCACCTTCCCAAGCTCCTTTGGTGGGGAACACAAGAGAGGGCCTTGTTAGTGGCCGCTCCCAGGCTTTGGAATGCTCTGCCCTGAGAGGCCAGAATTAGCCCCTGTGGCGACTGCCCACGTCATTCATGCTATTCATATACATGAGCTGATTTGCATGAACCTATGAGAGGGCTGGAGAGGCGGAGTCAGAAGCTACAGGAGGCTAGGCAGGAGAAGGAGGAGTCAGATAGGGCTGGTTAGTCAGAAAGGGGGGGACAGATACTGAGAGGGAGCTGGTTAGGAAACTAGGTAGAGAATGTGGTAATGATATAGCAAGAGAAAAGAAGTATGTACTGAGAGGACTGTTGATGTTTTGCTTGTGTATAATGTGTATCTGAGAAACTTCTGTTATTATTAAATGCTTTTCACTTCAATAAATAAATTTTGTTTCTGTTCACAAGTAAAGTGTTCAGACAAACGTCATTGATATTGTGGACTGAGGTAATCCACTGGTGGCAGTGAGAGGAAAACGCGACGTGAACCTTTGTGAGGGAAAGACAAGCAGGGGCCACAAAGGCGGATAATAGCAAATAGATAGATAGATAGATAGATAGATAGATAGATAGATAGATAGATAGATAGATAGATAGATAGATAGATAGATAGATAGATAGATAGATAGATAGATAGATAGATAGTATGGCATTTTCCCTTGTTATTATTGCATGATTTTAATTACTGTGAGTTGCCTTGGGTCTCCTATGAGGAGAAAGGCAGGATATAAAGAAAAGAAAAATGAATGAATGATGGCAAAGGGACTGAAATAATGTAGATGATACAGTATTAGAAAATAGGTACTGTACAGGTGGAGCCATTTCCTTATCCCTTACCGAGCAGAAACAGGCTCTAATAATGCTTTTGAATTGTGGTCCTGGAGGAGGCTCTTGAGAGTCCCCTGAACTGCAAGGAGAACAAACCTATCCATTTTGAAGGAAATCAACCCTGAATGCTCACTGGAAGGACAGATCCTGAAGCTGAGGCTCCAATACTTTGACCGTCTCATGAGAAGAGAAGACTCCCTGGAAAAGACCCTGATGTTGGGAAAGTGTGAAGGCAAGAGGAGAAGGGGACGACAGAGGATGAGATGGTTGGACAGCGTCATCGAAGCAACCAACATGGATTTGACCCAACTCTGGGAGGCATTGGAAGACAGGAGGGCCTGGCGTGCTCTGGTCCAGGGGGGTCATGAAGAGTCAGACATGACTAAGCGACTAAACAACAACAATGAGGGTCAGAACTCATACATGTGATGAGCAAGGGTTTCCATCCACTCTCACTATATGCCAGGAAAAATAATGTTGACAGGAGCTGGGCACCAGCAGTAGCTAGAAAGCCACACCTTCTACTTTTATCCCTTCCTTTCTATTTTCCATAAACTATGATCCACCAGGTGTTTTTAAACAGCTCCCATCAGCCCATAAATCATCTATATTAATATCTCAGTGTTATCATTCACGACAGTAATTGACAGGCTTCAAGATTATTATCACTCTGATTTCCTTCTGTTTTTTTAAAAAAGCACCCTTCAACACATTCCTGATGCACCTTGCAAAAAAGAAAGCAATTTTAACATGTCAAAATTATGAAATCTAATCTGTAATCTTTAACAGGAACAAGAATCGGAGGCAATCTTAGTTGGTAAATGTCACTCACAATAATAGCAACAACCCAGAGGATTAGCAATCCTAATGGCGAAAAAAATCTTATTCATAAACTTATATAACAAAGACAGCAATTCCAGAGTCCTGGCAGTCCTGACAAAAAACTGTGGCGAAACATTATTTTTAGCAACAATATGATACAACACCAGCCCAAAGGCATGAGAAACCGTGGTGGTAAATAATGAACCATCATATTTAATTGTTTGGTTTTTAGAAAAAATTGGATGACCCTCCCTTCTCTTCAGGAGGACCCAAAGCAGTTTACAATATTGAAAACAAAAAATATAAAAACTGAAAGGAGAAAAACAACAACAATAAACAAGAGAACAAAACCAAACGAAACAATGGGTGCCTTCCAGTTCTGCAGTCATAAGATTATCCCTATCATCTGTTATCATATATTAATATGATGATGATTCAAAAACACCAGACACAATCAATATTATAAAAACATTGACTGGTTTTATATAACAGACACAAGCTTTAAGCAAAAACCAAAGTACAGTATCTGTTAAATTGTTGTTGTGGTTTTTTCCGGGCTCTGTTAAATCTGTTAAATATTGGGACAGTATGTATGTTGTTCCTATTATTGCCTCTTTCTTGCAGCTTTGATGGTGTTTATTATTATTATCATCATCATCATCATCACCTTCTTCTTATTATTATTATTATTGTTGTTGTTGTTGTTGTTGTTGTTGTTGTTGTTCATCGTTGTTATCATTATCATTATTATCATCATCATCATCATCACCTTCTTCTTATTATTATTATTATTGTTGTTGTTGTTGTTGTTGTTGTTGTTGTTGTTCATCGTTGTTATCATTATCATTATTATCATCATCATCATCATCACCTTCTTCTTATTATTATTATTATTGTTGTTGTTGTTGTTGTTGTTGTTGTTGTTGTTCATCGTTGTTATCATTATCATTATTATCATCATCATCATCATCACCTTCTTCTTATTATTATTATTATTGTTGTTGTTGTTGTTGTTGTTGTTGTTGTTGTTCATCGTTGTTATCATTATCATTATTATCATCATCATCATCATCACCTTCTTCTTATTATTATTATTATTGTTGTTGTTGTTGTTGTTGTTGTTGTTGTTGTTCATCGTTGTTATCATTATCATTATTATCATCATCATCATCATCCCGGCCCGGCTCGGCTCGGCCCCGCCCCCTTCTCGGCTCCTCCGACCCCCCGCCCCGGCGGTCCTCTCGCGAGAACCCCTTCCGCTACGCAGGCGGGAGTTTAATAAAAGCATTCGAGATGCGCCGGCTAGAGCGGCACTAACAAATTGAACAAATTTCTTTTAAAAAAAAAGCTGCCCAAAGGCTTTGAATCTCTCGGGCCTAGTTATCACCTCTGTTATAATAACATACTTCCTCTAAATTTCCGGTAGGCAAGATGTGGCCCTTTAAATCATTGTTGGACTCCAACTCCCATCAGCCTTAGCTAACACAACCTATTACAAGGGTCATGGGTAGGATAGTTCCAAATCTCTCTCTCTCTTCCGGCGCTCATCCATTCGTGAGCTTTATGTCATCCCGTGACGAAGATGGCGGCGCCCGCTAGAACTTCCCTCCTGGAATCCCCTCCCAATTGGACTAAACCAACTTGCCATTCTCTTAGTTCTTTATTTGTCCCACCCATACTTTTTTAAAATATAGGCGTCCTCCAGAAACACTCCCCGCTTTATGAAAGTCGCCTATAACCCAGGTACGGTATTCCGCTCTTCGTTCAAAAGGGGGGAAAAGAATATTTGTTCTTTTCTCTCCCCGCGCTCTTGGTTCGTCCCAAGCGAGTCCATTTTGTTTCCTCTTTTTTTAACCCTCTCCCCCCCTCCTTTCGTCCAGAGATGGTTTAGCCCAGTTGGCCCTATTGGCCGCGGCCCGTGACGGGGAGTCAGAAGGTGAGGAGGGCGCGTCTCTGTCAGAGGCCTCTGGTGAGTGGCGGGGGCAGGAAACTCTAGCTCTTTAAAAAGTAATAATAATAACTTCGGTATTTCTTAATCGTATTTTTTGTTTGTATGCTGCCTTTCTTCAATGTGGTGGATGTTATTCTCATAAGACTCCCTGTAAGGTAGACCAGGCTGACAAACAAGACAATCATTAATACTGTATATGGTTAAGAGGGGGTTGAATCGCGTTATTTTCACATATAAAATAGAAAACAATAAGAGAGAGAGAGAGAGCTTGTCTTGAGGGAGGTTTGGACCGTGTGTAAGTCATCATCACAACGGCCCAACACAGTAGGTGAAGAGAGAGCGAAAACATATGTATATGTTGTGATGATGACTTACACGGTCCTATATATGTATGTATATACAGTATATGTATGTGTATATATGTATGTTTATATGTATATATGTGTGTGTATATGTATGTATATATGTATATGTGTGTGTGTATATATATATGTGTGTGTGTGTATGTATATGTATGTATATATATATACACACACACACAGTATATTAAAAAATCAGTATTGTTGGCACTGAGGCGGTCATGACTCTGTTGGGATTTGTTGGGCTTTCCGTTTTAGAATCTGGTGGCGGATAAGGGAGAGGAAGACGATCTTTCATATATATATATATATACACACACAGTATATTAAAAAATCAATATTGTTGCCACTGAGGCGGTCATGACTCTCTTGGGATTTGTTGGGCTGTCTGTTTTAGAATCTGGTGGCGGATAAGGTCGAGGAAGACGAACAGTGAAAAATATCAAAATTAAATTAAAAAGCTCATAGAGCAGCTGCATTTTGGCTGAAAGAGAGCATACAAAGGTTAGAAAATAACAACTAGGCCTTCCTTTTATAATTTATTCTTCTATTTTTTTTCCTCATTTCCAAGAATCGCCTATGATTCCAGTTCCACCTTTGCTCCATAAATATGAATTGAAATATTATTGTTATTGTTAGGTTTTTTCTTTCTGTCTTAATCATGTACACTTATTTTTAATACTTTTGCTATTAGAAGAGGGTCTCTAGGATTTTTTTTTTTTTAAAAAATTGGTACAGGGTGGCTCCATGAAATCATGGTGAAGGACTTGGTTTAAAGTTTACGTAAGTTAAACATTGCAAACTTATCTCCACTCACTGGAAAGCAGGTGACACAGAACTTGGTAGGTGGGTGGCTATTTGTCAGCAACATTTATATGTGGTTTGGATTTGTGAAGTTTACTTCCAAGAAAACATGGCTAGATCTTTCTGTGTCAATGTGTGAATGCTGCATGATTTATTATAATATATTGCTTTATCATTTTTCTAAAATTATGGGTTTGACTATAAATTGAGACCTTTTGTCATGTTTTAGACTTCCTTGGAAGGAACAGTACTGTAGTTTGTATGAATTTAATTCTGTAAGATCTTTCTGTGTCAATGTGTGAATGCTGTATGATTTATTATTAGGCTATATTGCTTTATCATTTTTCTAAAATTACGGGTTTGACTATAAATTGTGCCCTTTTGTCATGTTTTAGACTTCCCTGGAAGGAACAGTACTGTAGTGTGTATGAATTTAATTCTGTGTGACCCCTTCAGAGGTTATTTGGCTGGAACTCCCGTCAGTCCTGGCCATCATAACCAACGATGAGGAATCTGGGGAGCGGCAGATTTTGGAGGGTACCACATTTCTTCACCCTTTTTACCATTAAACCTTGCTGTACATCATATATTGTTTGGGGGATATACATTCAACAACCAGGTAATGCATTGAAAATATGGTTTCATCCTGCGGAGAATTATTCACACAGTTCAGGTAGTTTAAGTCGCCCTGAGAACGAGGAATGTTTGATGATTAATATCTAATGCAAAGTCAGATTCATGCCATCCAAGGAATGTGATGACTTCCTTCGTCAATGGGTGCCCTTGCATATCTGTCATTTGTGCTGCTCGAGGATTGTTACTGGTGTAAAGTATCTGGGATTGTCAAAAGGGGAAGGTTGTCAGTATGACACAAGACGTTATATCCCTCCCACAAGGGCACAACATGTACTTCTCTTGGATTCTGTAATAATTAAGGCACCATTCCTTACAGAGAGTGATTTGGAGTGGCTTTAAATATGTTACCTAATTTTCTTATTTCTTGGCCAACTTAAAATTGAAAAACCAATATTGAAAGCTTGACCTTTGTAAAGCATGGGTACCCATTTCCAACTGAGGCATAAATATGTCACATAACCTATATAAATGGAAAGATCAACAATTAACTCTTGCCATCAGGTAGAGTAAGGTCAATTTTAGGCAGCAAGAGTTGGTGTAATGTAGCATTATATTACATTTTTACTCCCAAGAAATGGGAGAGGTGCTTTATTTTGGCTTCCGGTGCCAAAGTAACTTCGTCACAAAATGACTTGGGTCTGGAAAGGTGATCAGATTTGATTGTTTTTCAACTGCACGTACCAGGCTCTACCCTCACAAATCAAACTATGGAGCGCTTATTCAAGAGCTTGCTCTCAGAGATCAGCTGTGCTGCCTGCAAAATAATAATAGTGGTGCCTGGATTTACGACCTTAATCCATTCCGGAATGATGGTCATCACTCGAAATGGTCCCACATTGAAGCACCATTTCCCATAGGAATGCATTGGAACGCGATTAATCAGTTCTGGTTGGGAAAAAAATCACCAAAACCAAAGATCACTGCAAGCCCCATTGGACTGCATCAGGGCTGGGGGGGGTCACAAAAAATTAAAAAATGCAAGTCCCATCGGAACATGCTGGAGCTGAAAAAAACACACACAAAAACCCAGCAAGCCCCATCGGAAGGCGCTGGGGCAAAAAAACACACACACACACAAAAAACTCACAGTGCAGAAACATAACCCCCCAGCCCAAACCCACCCTGCAAAACCCTGTAAATGTACTTACTCAGAAAGCAGCACCAACTCTCTAGCCATTGGGGCAAAAGAGCTACAAAGAAGCAGCCTCTTCGCCGACCAATGGTTAGTACATTTGAAATCACCACCTTTTCCCCTGCCATTTTTTCTGTTGTAAGTCGAACCACCGGTCGCAAGTAGAAACAAAATTTTGTGGCCGGAGCTGGTCGTAACTCGAAATGATCGTAAGTCGGGACACCACTGTAATAATAACAATTTTAAAATTACCCTTGGATGGCTGAAACTCATGAGCCAAGCCCTGTGATTCAGAACAATGCAAATGTGTGACGTGGTTCGTAGCCAATAACGAGCAAAGGAGAGTGTATTTCTTAATCTGAGGTCCAGTGAAGTATTTTAGCCTCCCTTATATGACTTTAAAAAAAAACAACTTCCTTTACAGAGTTTGACTTTACTTTCCTATAGATGCTGACTATCTCTGATATGAAGGAATTGTTCTGGGCCTGAAGAACGTCGGGGCGATTTCATTCACACCTTAAGAAAATAAAATCTCAACTGAGCCGCAATCATGTCAGCTTATACAAAAAGCTACAATCCTTTTGATGAAGATGACGATGAAGACCTCAAGCCTGTCAAGTGGAATGAAAGCAGTGAGCCTTCTGGAGGAGGCATGGACAGACAGAGCTATCTTCAGCGGGAGGTCCTGAGACGCTCCCAAGCCACCGTGGATAGCACTAACCGCTCCCTGTCCCTCATTTACGAGTCTGAACATGTTGGCGTAGCCACAGCAGAAGTGAGTAGTAATTTTGCTTTTCTAAGTACAGTCGGACAACCCTATCTGCAGGCGCAATCGGTACCCACGGTTCCACATATCCACTGTGTATAAATAAATAAAAGTCATAGGTACCGACCTACACATTCCCAAGGCGTATCATTGGGACTGGCCACTTGGTGGAACTGGAGGCTATAGTATATATAGGTGGCTTAATGGAAACGCACTTGTGTGCTGGGAAGGAGCTTCTGATGAAATGGAGAAGCTGCGTGAGGGCCAGTTGCTGGTTTCAGAGAAGGCTTCCTTGCAGATGAGGGTAGGAAGCCCAGTCCTTTGTCAAGGCTGGGCCAGGATTCCCTCTCTGCACCATACGCAGACACCAGGGAAGCTTGATGTAAGTGCTTCACTTATCTGCTGTTTCCAGCATCTGCTGGGGTGGGGGGCTTGGAACTGATCCTCCAACTGATGTATTGACCTGAAAGGGATACTGAGTCAGATCACAGGCCCATTAGATAAGGGGGTAGGAAGAGTTCAGTTTTCCAGATGTTATTGGAGTACAGCTTCCGGTAGGCTGATGGATCTCCATAGCGATGTCACTGTTGTGAATGCAGTTGCTGTGTAACAGCTGCGATGCAACTAAAGGTAAAGATTCCCCTTGACATTTAGTCCAGTCGTGTCCAACTCTAGGGCCCAGTGCTCATCCCCGTCTCCAAGCCGTAGAGCCAGTTTGTCCAAAGATAGTTTCCGTGGTCACGTAGCCAGCACGACTAGACACGGAATGCCGTGACCTTCCTACCATGGTAGTACCTAGTTATCTACTTGCATGTACATGCTTTTGAACTGCTAGGTTGGTAGGAGCAGGGACAAGCAACGGGAGGTCACTCCATCGCGTGGATTCGATCTTACGATTGCTGGTCTTCTGACCTTGGACCACAGAAGCTTCTGTGGTTTAACCCACAGCACCACCACGTCCCAAGTGATTAAACTACTTGGGATCAAAATATGTTATATCTAAGTATTTCTTAACAAGGTATTCAGATCATAGGATCGCGGTTTGTATATTCCTTTTTATGTTAATGCTTAATGCCTAGTTCGATCGATCGATCGATCGATCGATCGATCGTCATTGTAAGTATATATATATTTGGAACCATTCATGCTTACACCGCAGATTTTATTACCCAATAGATGTTGATAATAATGCCTTGCCTATTGCATGGTACAGCAAAGCACAGCATTGTTTGCTAAGCCCAGGAGATCTGTTCTAGTTTCACATCTGAAAAAAGATCTGCCTTTTCAGCCGTAGGTCTGTATGTTGTGCTCTGTGCAAAATATCACAGACAACCAGTTACTCCTTATTGTCCTCCTCCTGTTTACCAAGCCAAAGTGCATGTGTGAAGCAATATTGTCTCCCCCAGTAGTTCAGAGCACTGTCTCTTGCTTGGCCTTTGATATGAGTTTGTAGGCAAAATCAGGGAGGTTACAGCCTGAACTTTGATTAAAAAGCATGTGAGCCCGACGCGCGTGTCTTGCACTCTGGAACTTGTGATAGCGAGACTGAAAAGGGGATCAGTTATAGCTGCTAGTTTGCGTCTCGCCAGGTTGCCTTCGCAAAGCCAGCCTTCACCCTCTGTAAAACGGGATGCTGCAGAGTGACATGACAGCCTTGTTGTGAAGATTGCAATACAATCAGAAGATGATGGGTAAAGCGTGTGGAACATGTGAAAACGCAATGTACACATTGGCTGAAGTCCCATAGTGTGTCACAACTAGAGTCGGCCCCTTGACTCAGTGGTGACGTTGACTCAGCAAATTCCCAATGATTTAGTAGGCCTGCTCTACTTAAGACTTAGTCCTGGATTTCAGCTATTGTCTTCCAGGGTCCTTGATACAAAAGGAAAGGTCATAGCTAAGCAGAGCATCTGCATTTTTTACAGGCAAAGCCCCAAGTTCAGTCTTCTAACGTGCTTAAGAAGGGCTGGGGAATAATTTATAGCCTAAAGCCCAGTTGAGCGATTGTCAGTAAGTGTCATCAGAACTGAGTTAGATTCTCCAGCAAATGATGAGTATCAAGGCCAGGTTTCTGTGAAGTGAAAAAAATGAAAGAGTAGTAACAAACTACAGAATTATTAAAGGACAAAATAACATTTCCTACAGTTGTGATTGTGGCCCAGAGGATTGTACGACTAAAATTTGTTCACTGACCGGTGCAAGTAAATTTTGAACAGAACCACACAGTTTCCCTAAAGTTCAAACCAAACCTCCAAAGTATATTCCTGTTCCCTGCTAAAATAAGCAGACCTTTTCTGAAACACAGCAAGCTGGCTAAAGAGGCTGTGCTTTCTCTTTGAAACAGATCTACAAAGTGGGACACTGTCAGAGAACCTACAATGGTAACTTTAGATCCATAGTAGATCCTGAAATGAGCTCAGGCTTCAGTTGATAGTGAGCTATAAGTAGGCATCAGTGAAATTTCAGTCCCTGCAAAAGTCCTCCCCTGGCCTTCCTACATTTTGATGCATGAAATATGTATTCTAGCATTGAAATGAGTACTGTGGAAATGCATGGGTTACAGGAACCTCTCCCTAACATCAGCACTATGTTGCAGCTTGTTCAAGAAACCTGGAAAATAATATCCGTTGCAAAAAAAAAAACCAAGGAAAATATTGAAAAGTGGTTATTTGAGAAGTTAAATGTATCTGTTTCCTTCATCCTTTAAAATTTGCATTGTTTCCCATTCTTTTCAATAGGAACTTACCCGGCAGGGCGAGGTACTTCAGCGCACTGAACGCATGGTAGATAAGATGGATCAAGATTTGAAAACAAGCCAGAGACACATCAACAGCATCAAGAGTGTGTTTGGTGGCTTTGTGAATTACTTTAAAGCCAAGCCGCAGGAGATCAAACCTGAGCAGAACGGGGCCTCTGAATACCAAGGAAGCAACAAGTGAGCAACCCAAAAGGGAAGACATAAAGCATTTGAGTTGGGGTGTGTGTGTCTGATTAGACACATGTGCAAACCCAGACATAGTTATTCATTGAAGTTCAGAAACCAGCTTCAGTGCTCTGCCCTTGTGAGGTTGGAGGTGGGGGTAGGTCATGGGAAGTAATCACAAGAGCTTGGTTCACATGTGACAATAAATCAGAATCACTCTGAATCCTTGCTTGTTGCCAAACAACTGTGGTTGACCGGACCTTGCAAACTGGGGTGGTTACATAAATCAGAAGATCTGCCTTTGTGGTTTGTTGAGCACTGTATACTGGGAGTTTAAAGAGGGAGGCCTTTCTGCTTCATCCCAGGTTTCTTCGGCATGGGATTTATTGGAATTTTCAGGGGAAAAGAGAGGAAGATAAATGAATGAAGCTTTTGACTGTGCTTCATTTCATCAGCACCACCACCAAGTACATAGCGATCACTCTGTTTTACAACTAAATTGCTTTGCGAAGATGTTTGTGCGATTGCAAAAGCGATCGCTTTGCGATGTTCCCTATGGGGAAAATTTGCTTTGCGATTATCGCAGGGAAGCGATCATCGCAAAGCCCCCATTTTCGGCCAGCTGATCGGCGGTTCCAAAATGGCCACCGGGTAAACAAAATGGCTGCCTGCTGTGTTGCCTCTCTTTAGAGGCACCAAAAATGGCCGCCACAATGGAGGATTTTCACTTAAGTTTAGTTTTTAAACCCATAGGAACGTATTAATGGTGTTTTAATGCATTTCTATGGGCTTTTTAAAATCGCTTAGTGATATCGCTTAGCAGCGATTTTTGCTGCACGGATTAACATCGCTAAGCAAGGCACCACTGTAATATGAAAAGGCCATGCTGTAAAAAAAAACCTGATGTCAAAGAGCAAAAATCATTCATCTTCACATTAAGTCCTGATGGGCATGGGTAAAGCCAGCGCATGCACTAGGAACAATAACTTTCACGTCCTTCTCTCCAGATTAAAAGAAGCCCTCTCCCTTAGTAAAGAACAGGAGCCGAAATACCTGGAAAGTCATCCAAATTTGCGGAAGCTGGATAATTCAGGTTTGTTCAATCTCAGCTATTGAATTTATTTTGAACTTGCCTTGATTGAATCTTCTTTTTCTCAGGTGATCTTCCTAATGAGGAGCTTGGTTCATTTATATGTTTCTTTTCATTAGAACATTTTTGCCTTGCTGTTCAGACAAAAAAGAAAAGGGACCTGGAGCACCCTTACAGCCATCAGTCATTCGGCAGTTACCTGCTCTTGGGCATATCTAATAAAGAGACACAGAGCAGGGAGTTGAATAAGAGGGGAGGGAAAAGGTATAATAGTGATGATGGATCCGGTTGCCCAGGTGGATGAGGATATTCTGAGCATTCTCTGCTTCACACTTCGTCTCTTCTCATTCCAGCTCACGCCCCCCTTCCTGGCCTGTTCTGGTTTTTCTTTCTTCTGCTGTTTCTCTTTTCTTCTGCTTTCTTTTCCAACTTAAATCTGCTTTTCTTTCACACCCTTCAATGTAGAATGGCTCCTGAAAAGCCTTTCTGATGGCAGGATCACCACTGGGAGCTGGCAGATGGCAATGCACCAAATTAGATTGATTGATTATTGGTTTGGACTATGTAGACCTATCCTGCCCATCGTACATAGGCTTGTTCACTGACCCCTCCTTTGTGCCTAAAACTGAGAAATTACAAATGCCAGTCAACCCAAGCTATTTATTTACAGGAATATGACCTAGAGACTAATAATCTCTCCAGCAATACAGGGTTGCTGCTTCTACTATTGACTTATAACCAGCAGAGTATCTGTGCTCCTGCATTAAGAGCATGCATCTTTCATTAAACCAGTGCAAATTTTGATTATGATGTGGGTATGTGCATTAAACACTCCAGAATCTTCAGATGCTAGAGAGGGCAGCTGAACTGAATATTAGTGCATCAGAGTAATGGGGCACTGATGGCGTGGTGATGTTGACAAAGGCCAAATTTGCCTCTCACTTGACAGCTTTTTTTTAAAAAAAAATAGTCATGAGGATGTAAATGTATGAATGGTGATTAGTAGTAGATAGGAGAGAGAAGGCTGCAGTGCTTGCTTCTGATTGCAAACAAATACAATAATTTGTAATGCATTTCAGTAACGTAAGCTGTCCCCGCTTGTAAGGAGACATGTGTGCTACTGTATTCTAAAAATTGGAGTTACTGGAGCTGATATTTCATGAATATTTAAAGATCTGTGTCACCTCTGCCCTTCCAGAGTATAATTCCAGTGGACCCAGTTCAGATTCTTCACTCCAGCATGACAGTTACCCCAAGAATCAGCATCTCCGAGCTTACCATCAAAAAGTTGACCAGAACTTAGGTGAGTTGCGACAGCCACTTCATAATGTTTAATCTTCAGCTCTTGACTCTCTAAAACAACACTGAGCCAAAATCATGTTGCTTAATAAAAGAAATTGCATTCAAATGCATCTTTGAATCAATGAGGATTTGTTGAGTCAACACCATTGTAAGCGCCTTTGATTTAAATGAGCCTACTCTCAATTCAACTTGCTTTAGCATAGTCACCGTTAAGATAGGCCCATTTGAGTTAATGGAACTTACAATGGCCTTGACTTACCAAATCCCCATTGATTTAGTGGGTATAATTGAATGTGATTTACTTCGCTAAGCAACAGGATTTGGGCCAGTAATCTCTCTGGGGCATTTTATGGGAACAAAAGGGCTGCACCTCCCCCATTTTCCCTTCTCATTCCACAGAAATGGAAGATGGTCCCAGAAGGTTATGATTTTCCATTGCTGAAGGAGAAGAAATGGTGGAATTTCAGGGAGACCCAGAATTCCTAGCATGGTGGCTTTACCCTGCTGCTCATCATTTCCTCAGTGTGATTCCCCAGCAAACCCGTGATCAACTAGGGCCATAACGGCCGGACGAGGAAGGGTTATGGGTCCACTAAACAAACAGTCGTCCCTCCCTCATATTTTACAAGTTATATTTTTGTCACAAATTTTTAAGTGGAAAATGTAAACGAAATGTAATTCATTGCTGGTAAGCCACAGGTTTTTAGAGAATAGCAAACTTATTGATCCTTATGCATCAGCGTCACATTTTGACACGGAACCAGATCTGCAACATAGGTGTTCTGCACCATGATCATACCTGTGACCATTGTCACACCTGAGTTCTGCCACACACCCTGTGCGTGTTTGTGTTTTGTCCAAGGAATCAGTTGTAATGAAAAATGTCCCAGCAAAAGTATTCCTTTCTGCTACTGGGGAACTTTTTTTGCCCTAGCTAATACAGTGCCCTGGGGGTACGTGGTGGCATTGTGGGTTAAACCGCATAAGCCTTTGTGCTTCAAAGTCAGAAGACCACTTGTCGTAAGATCGAATCCGCGCAACGGAGCAAACTCCCATAGTTTGTCCCAGCTCCTGCCAACCTAGAAGGCATGTAAAAATGCGAGTAGATAGGTACCACCATGGTGGGAAGGTCACAGCGTTCCATGTCTAGTCACGCTGGCCACGTGACCACGGAAACTGTCTACGGGTAAACTGTGGCTCGAGGGCTTGGAGATGGGGATGAACACCGCGTCCTAGAGTCGGATGTGACTGGACTAAAAGTCAAAGGGAACCTTTACCTTGAGCCAGTGCCTTGAGCCAAAAAATTTAAAAGTCCCATTCTGTCTCCAGGTGAATTACAGAATCATAGAATAATGGAGTTGGAGTGGACCCATAAGGCCACCGAGTCCAACCCCTTGCTCAGGGCAGGAACCCAAATCAAAACCAATCTGACATACGATTGTCCAGTTTTCTCTTGAATGCCTCCAACGTTGAAGCACTCACCACCTCCCAAGGGAATGGATTCCATTCTTGTACTGCTCTAACAGTTAGGAAGTTTTTCCTGATACAGAGGATACAGAACTTGCATGTTTGCCATGCAAGCTTGGACTGCCCAGAGCTGTAGTTATAAACATCGATAGGTGCCAAGCTGGAGGATGTTGCTTAGGTCTCTTAGAAATTAAATGAATGTTCAGACATGCCACCACTTGCTCCTGAGCTTAGAGAATTAGCAGATTAATTGTTATTGTGAATTGCCTCTCAAGGAAATTGGCTGTGCCCCTTTTGTGGCTAATCCCACTGCCTTCTCTTTGGCCCCTTCTAGATGAAATGTCTTCCGGGCTCGGTCGCCTGAAGAACCTGGCCCTTGGCTTGCAGTCTGAAATCGAGACGCAAGATGAAATCCTGGGTCGCCTCACCACCAAAGTCGACACGCTGGACATCAATATTAAAGACACGGACAAAAAGGTCAAGGCGCTTTGAAGAGTTTCAAGTCTTTCTCCCTTCCATGCAGGAATTTGATGCATTTTATACGCTGGACATTGTCTTATTGTCTGGGAAATTCCCAGCATAAGGAAGTGGCCTATTTGACTGTCTTGCCTCTCATCATTAAAACAAAAGCCTTAAGTGCAATCTCAAGAATTTCCACCACTTTCCTTTTATATATGTGACTTAGGATGTTTCTAAGCATTTCCTCTTTGAGCTTCTGATTTGGGGGTAAACGTCTTGATTCTGGGCAAAAAAGTTGTTACAAACCGTCTTTGAGGCTCTTTGGCCTTTAAATGTGACAAGTGTTCAATAGGGTGAGTGTGTGTGTTGGTTAATTATATTGAAAGAAGGGTTGTGTATTTCTGTCACATTTTGAACTTTGGTGGCTAGAGTTGTAGAGGAATTCTTAGGTTTGTTCGTTAGCATTTCAAAACTGGGGCATGGCATTAGAGTTCTGGAGCAGCTCATTTAAAGTCAGGGGGTACATTGATATCCAGAAGCAAAGGATCAAGATCCATAAAGAAGTTAGCTTTCATCTCACATGCCTGCAGCAGGGCCAATACTGTTAAGCATGCTTTAAAAAAAAATTTAGGCAAGACAATACTGGATAAGAGAGTCCTATTTTTAAATGGACCTAAGAAGGGTGTTACCAGATGCCTTTACAACTGATTCCACATGGCCCAGCAGGGTTTCGGACCTTCCCCTGCTTCAGCTGATCCGGTGCCACAAATGGACTGCTTCTGCAGTTGGATTTAGTTTCCAAAGTAATACCTCGGCTGGCATGCAGGTGCCACCCTTGTGTGTCAAAGACACAAAGC